GATACTCTTGTCAAAGTATCTCATTGATATTGTAGTCGTCTGCGATTCTTTTTATTTGCATGATTAAACATAAGAGGGAGAAAGAAAGCCTCTCTGAGTTTGTTTCGCCGGTTCTTCTCAGAAAAATCTCCCATTTTTGGAACCGGTAGTAGTTCGCGGTAGTTAGGGTCAAATAAATAACCTGAAAATTATAAAAAAAAACTTTATTAATTAAATTAGCTAATAAATTCAAGCACAGACAATAAAGTTTTAAATACTTCTTTTGAAATATCCGAACGCTCGAACAAATAAAAGCTTTCGAAGTTAGCTCGACAAAGTAAATAAAAAAATAAATAAAAAATAATCATTCTGACGACGCATAGGAATGGCATTTGCATCCTTTGCAGGAGCAAAGAATGCAAAACGTCAATAAATAAATAAATTCAGTACATCTAACCATTTAAAACTAGTTTTATAAAATGAGTGATGTGCGTGAAAACCTAAGAAAAAAAAACGACTGGTTAACGTTGTGCATTTTTCATATTTTGGAACGGTTAGGGAATAATTTTGCACGAATTGCTTTAATTATCAGTATAAAAGTACTATCATTTATGTGGTAGAATACAATATTTATTTATTGCTCTATCGTACACAAACATGACAATTTATATTACATTAAAAGTTAATCTCTCAGAAAAATCAACTAACATGAATCACATTTAAGCGCACCTAGTGACATCTATTGTAAAAAAAATGCATTTTCTTCGCAAATAAAGCGCCACCTGGACGTCATAGATTTTATTGTTTTCGTCTTACGCCATGTGTCCTGACGCGAGTTTAACATTTATTATCAGTACAAAAATAGTGTACGATGCCGCTAAAGAAATTTTCACTTCAATAAATAAAAATACGTTAGTTAACGTTCTCGAATGGCGACCACGCACTGGACGACGCTCGGTGGGAAGACCCCTCACCAGGTACACCGACGATCAGGTGAAGATCGCGGGAAGCCGATGGATGCGCGAGTCACAGGACCGATCTATGAGGAGATCTTTTGGGGAGATCTATGCTCAGCAGTGGGCGTCGTACGGCTGAGATGATGATGATGATGAACAACTTACATTTTAATAGAGTTATAATAAAGTGATATCTGGTCGAGGTGCGATCGCCTCAACGACTAAAAAATGGCACATTGGTATTGGTTTATTAGCGTCCTGAAAAAACAATTTACTTTCATTTTTAGAGATCTGTGCCTTAAAAGGAAAAAACGGAATACTTTTTGTCGTCTGTCTGACTTTAAGTCAAGACCCTTTATCTTGGGAACGCATGGAGTTATCGAGTTGAAATTTAAACCATATACTAAGATTTATAGTACCTTAAACTGAGAACACAATTAGACTTCTAAGTTAACTTTCAAGTTTTAAGAAAAAGATACGACGAACCAGATTCGCACTTGTCCGGTTTTTTGTTCTGTAAATTACCTTATATCCTCTGTTCCTAATTTCCAAATCTATGTGCCTGTATCGGCAACCAAACCGCATGTTTTTTTCATTACTTTTTCAAGCACCGCTTCAGCAAAGAGTATCATTGTTACAATTCGTAACTCGATCCGCTACGTTCGGCGAATCGTCGTAAATAACCGACCACCCCGCCTGGCCGCAGGCAGCGGGTGTTAGTTACTTATAAGCGCCCGCGCACTGTTGTACTTGTAGACAGACCGTGACCTGCCTTGTCAGTGTCACTTTGACAGGACTAATATAAAGGTCAACATATCGATCGTTCGTTTAGTTTGCACGAGAAAACCTGATAGGTACGCGTTAAAATTTACCAACACCAACTTTATCTGAAACAAACAATAACTGTAGTCACTGCTTGGAATATAAGTTAGTTTACACGATAGAAATTGAAAAGGCACTTTATCTGAAACTAATATATATATATATATATATATTTTATAGCTAGGTAAGCATATGACTCCACCTGACCTGATTTTAAGTGGTGGTAAAGTCCAGACGCGAAGATAGCTGTTGCAGCAGTTATCAACTGCCACACCAACCATTCCCACCTTGATCGCCTGCAGAAATGCTTTTTCACGCGTCTTTTAAAGGATCCCAGATTGTAAGAACTTGCGAATAGTGTGACAAAGAAGTGTGTCACCAAATTTTTTTGTTCGTATAAGAATAATTTATTATTCTGCTTCAGAAACTAAAATTTCAGTAAAAGTGGAATAATATTTTTACGGCGTTTAATGAAAACAGTGTGACTAACTCACAAACAACCTCAGCAGACGTGTACCTTTCAAATGAAACGTTTTACTGCCGCGCAATCCCTCTGTTGCCCGCAATAAATTTGATCGAATCATCGACCCTGCTCCCAGTTATTTCAAAGACTCGAAATTTGTCCTGACAATATTTACGACGACAGCGGAGCATGCGCGTGATCGGTCCAGGAGCGCACATCAAAGAGGATGCGCTAGCGTCACATGTTTCTACGTGCCGAGGTCGAATCCTGGGGGAGCGATTAAAAAAAAGGCAAAGATTGTATGTTTTGTAAATAATAATGTTGTTTGGCGCCGCATTTCGTGGCGGCTCGGCTGCCTGCCAGTCAGTAGCACTCTAAGATTTTTTTTGTTTTTTTCATAACCAATGCCAATTTTATGTGCTGAAGTGTAAATTATGAATTGATTGGGGTGAACGGCGCACTAAAAGACGTCAATTAACATTTAAAGTTAATGCTCACTTTTTTTTATTAACAACAGTATAAATAGAATGAGACAACACGTCGCTTTGATAGATAGATAGATAAATCATTTATTCCCATCAGTACAGCACACAAATTCAAGTAAAAAAATAGAACAATTAATTACTAGGTATGTAACTGTGTGCCGCAACGATAGAAAAAGGCAAAAACTCAGCGATACCTTTGCTCTAAGAGCAAAGCACTGGTTTTCAGTTCTGCCTAGAAAGCGCGTAACGTGAAACGACATCGACGTGACGTGATCAATTTATTATTAGGAGAATTAAATTAGATTATATTTTTATTAAATTAAAAAGATTATTAAATTATTATTGATAAGTTATTATAATATAAGTATATATAATATTATCATTCACCAAAAATTATTAATTATTACTGTTGTTATTACTTTTTAGTATTTAGATTAATATTGAATTTCTGAATTAATATTTACCCATCAGAATTTAACACACACAAATTGTGACACACCTATTAGAAAGTGGTAGAAACCGCTACCATACGACCACATGTGGTTATTCCTAACCTTTGCATTTCTAGTAAAATTAATTTTAAATGTTTTTTAAATGTTTGGCGCGATATATAGATAAGCATATCTCTGAGAGATAAAATGACATTTCTAAAAAAAATTGCCCTTCTGGTAATGAGACGCGCCAGGTATTCATTTCCTACCAATAAAATATGCCGAATAAACACATTTTGGTTAGCGTATAGATTCGATTTTTTTATTGCAAAAAATTTGGTACAATGATATGGCATGTATACAAAACATATTTTACCATAAATGGCATGCAATTTATACAAAAGCCAAGTAATTTAAATAAGGGTCTTTATATTATGCAGACTAAATAGAATATTGCAAAGAAGTATACCTAATAAAATAGTATTTTTCAAAAAATCAAAAGTTCGGAATAATGCTGTCTCTCTTTAATTTTTTTATTTGCTGTCACTCTTAATGACCAAGTAAATCACTAATGAAAATCGAACAAAATATGTTGACCAAATAAAGGTATATCCAATTTGGTTCCTGGCGTTCCTTATTTTCTTGCAAACATTGCAAAACAATTCTTAACAATCCTATTTGACGTGACAGATTTTGCCCTACTAGTTTACAAAGGTTTTTTTTAATCAAAGCTCAAATTTCAAAGATTTTTGATTCACATTACCTTTGTTATTAGAAAGTCCTTAGTGTAATTACACATTCTCTTATTAAGAAAACTTGTCTATTTTGAAATTTTAAGCGAATAATCAAGCATGTGGTTCAGGAATTTTGTTCTACAGTACTTCCATATATAGCTCACTGTTTGAGGTTGAGTTTACCAGCGGTTTACATATCCGTACCGCCGCAATAGATGTTTCACATCAAAAAGTTCGTAAATTACTTTTATTAATTCTCTGATTGCTATGGCGACGTGGCGACGTACCTAAATATTACGAATACTTCTTCGAGTATGCAGACAAATCAGGAACCGTGATCTAACTACTCTATCTAATGGATTGAGCACCGTTTGTTATGGACCGTAGGTATGAAACACAGATTTGTGTTTGAAGAATGCTCCTGTTATTAGATACGTTAGTTTTTTTAGTTTTGAATTAACTTAGCTTGTAGTTCAACCGAAGCTTCAGTTAAACTAAAGATCAGGAACATAATCTGAAGAAGGGCAAATCTAAGGTGTTGGATCAGTGTTTTTCAGCGACCACTGCAAAGTTCGTGGTGTGTTTTCTATTCTATAAGTTTTACGTCCAAATAACGGTCATCAGTTTTCCTCGCTACGTATCCAGCTTACTACAATTTCAGTTTAGCAATCCGCCGAGCGATGTCGTTACTTTAGTTCTCCTGTGATTTCCTCATTTCTGATTCTGTAACGCAGGTAAATACCGATCATCGCTAATTAGCCACTGTGAGAATTTGAGCATAAAGAGTGATATAAATAAATTAGCCACTATTTGAGCAGCGGCCAGCGAGATTACGAGAGAGTGTTGTAATACTGTCTTTTGATCCAAAAGGTCTGGACTAGAATCTCTAGCAGCATTAATTTGAGCGTGTGAACGACACCGTATTTGGTTGAGTTTAACTTGTTGTTGTAAACAACAGTGAATGGCAGCACCTCCAATAGTTTCAGAAAGCACCCTCGAAAGACTTGCACGTGAAAGTTGACAACGAGTGCATCTATACTTTTGTTTTACTCCTACTCCAGCAAAAGCGTACGATAAAAATATTGAAATGATGTATTGTTGTTTTTTCCATAATTAAGTTGATAAATCCGCGTATTTTAATTAATCAGATTGTACCTGCAAAGCGTCTTGCCTATATAAACGATAGACTTATCATGGTAATCGCATTCCACAATGTTACGGTTTGTTGTGCTGTGCTGTATCCTAGCGGTCGCTGCTGCCGGACCCCCGGTGGTGAAGACCAGGGCCCAAATCCAGAACTACAAGATTGCATTGGAAAAGTCCAGAGAAGGTATACACATTATTTTTATAAGTAGGTCCGAGCATACGCTCATACACTCCGCCTGATAATAAAAGGTATTGGAGTCGACGCGGTGATAACTGTTACAGCATGTTCAGCTTGATAATTGCTTCTTGTTGGCTCTTTCAAAGGACCTTGTAGAAAAGACCATGTGCAATCCCAAAACAGACCATTTACGGACAGTGCGATAGAAATATTACGAGCCACTACATTTCTTTGTTCGACTTTAAACAGTAAGTCAGCGGTCATGTGGGTCAATAACTCCTTATAATACAAATATTTTATTTTACTTTCCGTTAGAAGAAAAGAACTTTGAGGTGACGTTAGGTCGAACATTTAAGTACGTACTATACGATTACCTCATAAAATATTCTTCTCAACCTCTGCAACTACTCTGTTTCGTTAATTTTAGGAGAATATTACAATTTCAAGATTTTACAATATTCTCTTGATGATGGACTTTTATCTTCTTTTATTATTCATAGCCCTCTGCTTTTAACTGACACGTCAGAGCGGTATCGGTTTCATATATTTTGAAAGTACGGTGAGATTTATATTTGTGTGTCGTGATGCGTTATGCTCATACATCGAGATTTATCGTCCTAGAATGTGATGGCTTCTGATGTGACGCATCAGAAGAGATTTCGATTGCATTAAAGAAATGGGGTGATGGGCTGTCTGACGCCACATCTATGGTTACCATATAGAAGTTTGAGTCCTGACAAAAAGCCTGAAAATTCGATAAAAGTTCGGTCTTGGAAGATTTTATATTGTGTCTTAGATAAATGAGAAGGTACATTATTAAAGATGAAAACATATATATTGACTTGTTTTGTAGCTTTAAATTCATTTATAAAATGTTAAACTAATATTTTGGGGAAACAGGGTTTAACATTTTATAAATTAATTATATTTACCTAATACTTTCTTTCAATAAAAAGTGACGTTCTGGCAACGCTGCGTCAGAAAGCATCAGTTCCGCGACATATAGATGTGAACGCTACCCATTATATCTGAGCCCGTAACGATACAATACGACAGACAAATATAAAATCGGCTTAAAACCACAATGTTACTTAATGATCATAGTATTCTATTGGTGAAATAATTTAAAAATAAGAATAAGTAAATCTTTGCTCTATATCATATCAGCGTCATAAATCAGGAGTGAGTGTATATAAATAATATGAAAAGAAAAATAATACAGTGGTACTTCTGTCTACAAATATGGAAGCAAAGCAACTTTCCTAATTCCCTGGTTATAGGATAGGTGGCCAAAAGCTGATAATCTTAATCTCCTCCGTGCATCTGCAAGCATTAACACTTCAATCAACCCTATTCTATCCATCTATACGATGGCTATTTAGAATACAAATACATCTGTAAATTTTTGACAAACTATAGTACACATATATCAAAAATAGTTTGATGACACATCAATCAAACGTTTGTTGTGTGCAAAAGCTGATATATTTTCAAAATTAACTTAATCAAGAGAAAATGTTTACGTTATATCTTATTAAATTTAAAAACACTTTTTGAAATAAAAAAAATAAACTTATTTTATTTTTGGTATACAAAATTTAATAATTCAATCGTAATGCGATTGTAATAGTACTTTGATAGAAATAAAAAAATATTTTAACCAAACTTAAAAACCTTTTATTAATAAATCGTTGTTTATCTAATACAAAATAATTAATAACTCCTCCTCTAGCTAGAACACATGCGGAGATCCTCCTGGGCATGCTAAGTATCAATTTATCCAGCATTTCTTGTGGTAACCTGTCCCATTCTTGAACAGCAGCATCAGCTGCGGCACTGTCTGGGGTGGTGGCTGCCGGTTCCTAACAGCTCGTTTAAGAGCATCCCACGCGAGCTCTATTGGGTTTAAGTCAGGAGAGCCGGCAGGCCAGTCTAACCTTGTGATTTCGTATTCTCGGCGAGCAGCATTGACTCGTTGAGGTCGATGTGCGGGCGCATTATCGTCAAATACACAAACAAGCACAGTACTAATTGGTGCCCATGGTTTACTCGGAAAGGTCTGACGATTTCATCAATATCGACTGTTTTGTAACTGTCTGCCGTCATGAAGCCTTGATAAGGGATTAAAGGCGTTCTACCCCCAATCATAATACCACCCCAAAAGGACACTGATTTACCGCCTTACTGAACCGTTCCAGTGGCCATTCTTTGCCTTTCAGAGTCTTCAGGTCTTTTCCAAACACGGACACGGCGGTTATCTGGATGAGTACTGATTCGCGATTCGCCAACGAAGAAGCAGTTTTGCCAAATAATTTCTTCTTCGTCTTCTTCGTTTTGTCGGAGGCTAGCATATATAGTATATAGTAATCTCCGTCAATGATGTTCCCGTGAATTCAAAGATGCTCGCCAAGACCTCCGTGCTCGTAATCCAGCCTTGTGTAAGCAATTTCGAATGGTCTGATTGCTAACTTCAAGTCCGGAGGCGGCCCGTATTTCTGCTTTTAATTTAGTGGCGTTTATTGCTGAGTCGCGTGCTACCAGCAACCTGATGTAGCGCTTTTGAGCAGCTGTCAAAACAGTTGGGCGACCGCTGCGGGGTCGATCAGCTAAATTACCCATGCCGTGGTACCTCTGCAACGTGGTTACTACACAGAATTGGGATATGGCAACTCTGCGTGCTATTTCTCTCGTAGAAATAGCCTTCTTCCCTCAAAGTTACAATTTTGGCTTGTAAAATATCTGATAATCCTCGTGGCATTTTTTAAATCACAACTTTCCGTGAAAAAATATTTTAAATTCTATAATATTGACTAAGTCAGATTTTTGAATGAGTGTCAGCTTGGATTGCATGTCTTTTAATATGGAAAAACAATTGAATTATTTAATTGTTTTATATTCTAATTTTAAAATTTAGAAACTTATCAGAAAAAGAAATTACAAAAAGTCTTCTGCAACACAAAAAACAATCTATTTTTCAAAGTGATCGCAAACTTTTTATGATGTGTGTATTATTAAGTTTGTAAATGATAATGTTCTAGATAAGAATTGAAAATCTTTGTTCCAGACGATGGGTTGACCTTGGAGGAGCGTATGGCAGCACACCCCGAAATGAACGCATGGGCTAACAGCGGGAAGTATCAAGGCGATATTGTCTTGGATGATGAGCTCATCGAGGATATGGTCGAGGAGTTCTCGACTGGTTCTCGAATGGCTTACACCAGGGCCAACACGCGGTGGCCGCAGGCAACTGCTGTCTACGAGTTCGGAGCTGGAGAATTCAGTAAGCTCTTTGTTAATTTATCAGTTAGCGCCCATAACTTTATCAGTATTGAACCATTTGTTTATCCCTCGAACAAAATATCATTGCCTATACTTCATCCCCATCGAGCTATATAATAGTCGTATAAAACTTTTCGGGCTTCTATGGTTGCTTTTATTACTATACCAATATTGGGTCAGATTTCAGTGGCTTATTTGCTAAATAATTATAGCCAGCCAGACCTCGTCGCATCTCCACTCGCTTTCGACATCTTGCCAATCAATTTCTTTTCATCTACCCTTCTTACGTTTTTTAATCATAGCTAAACTATCTTGGCTTTCTCAATTTTGACACTGCCTTTTTTGCCTTTACTGTTTCTCGTGTATTTTTCTTATTGGTGCAATAAAATCTGAAATCAGGAATTTCTTTATAGATCTTGATCAACAAAGGTTCATCCTCAATGTGATGACCAGACTTTCTGAAAGGACCTGTGTCAGATTTCGTGTCAGAAACGCCAACGATCGTAACTTTGTGAGAATTACGGTAAGAATTCAATTTCCCAATTTAGAATATAGCCAACTGCAATATTTAATTCTATCAGCCACAAGTTAAGTACAGAGTAGTACTTAACTTGTGACTGATAGAATAGGTACAGATTTAGACGGTGAATAAACTCAGAGTCCTTGGTATCATCATCGATATCGGAATGTCCACATTCACATGTATTGTCACGTAATTAGGCTATTACTATTGGTAACAGCTTAATTTTATTAATCTATTTTATTAAAGGATACCGATAGATTTAAAAAAATCTAGGATTTTTTTCTGATTTACTGACAAATTGTTCTCAAATTATTCGGTATATATGCCTATGATTAAACACAATTAATGGATTTCTAAAATTAAGTTTTATTCCACCTTACTATTTCAGGGAAGAGCCACCGGTTGCTACGCCCATGTTGGTTTCAGTGCCAACCGTGGCATTCACACCTTGAACTTGGCTCGTAGCAACCCTGGTCAGGGTTGCCTCAACTTCGTAGTCATTGCCCACGAGTGGTACCACGCCTTAGGCTTCTTCCATATGCAATCAACTTACAACAGGGACACATACGTCCGCATCCACTGGGAGAATATTCAACAAGGTTAGTGATTACCCTAACTTTACTTTGTGGTGATTTACAAATTATTCGAAGTGGTTAGTAATAATAATGATATAATTAACCTTAGCACAATTTGTATGACCGTGAGATTTACATTCTCATTGATAAAATCTTATGAAGAAGAGATATATTTACCTAATAATCCTACCTAAGGACATTTTTAATCAACTGTTGTTTATTACATACCTATTCATTAATCATTATTCTGATTATGACACAGGTATGTCGCACAACTTCGACAGATACGACAGTAGCATCGTATCCAACCTTGGTCTGCCGTATGAGTACGGAAGCAGCATGCACTACGGCACTCATTTCTTCAGCAGTAACGGCCGTCCCACGCTCAGCACCACCAGGGTAAGAAATCTGAGAATCTAAAAATACAGTGTCACCTATTTCGCACCGCAATGGCCCATCATCGGATGGGTGGCCGAAAACTATTTTCTCGAGCTCCTCCGTGCTTTGGAAGGCAGGTTAAGATAATCAGAGTGTTCCTCACTTGTTTACCTTTATACCCGAGACTAGGCTAGATATGCTTAGTTTAGGAACAAATTCAAAGGTAGTGGAAACAGGTGTGGGGACCTGGACTACTAAAATAATTGCAAGGAATTTGAGTATAATCACATCACTTATCAAAAGAGTTCTCAATGCAAGCAGATTAAATGAAAACGTTTTTCTTATTTGCAGCAATACAACGGAGTGTTGGGTCAAACTTCTGTGATTACGGGCTTCGACATCTGGAGGTTATCTCGCCACTACAATTGCCCCGGAGCCTGGAGCGCAGACGTTATGGAGAAAGCAAGGACCACTCTCTATGTTCCCACTGAAGAGGGTGACCTGATAGAGCATACTGTTGACAGTCCCCTGATCGATGAATTGGAATTGTTTGAAGATACCAAATTCGAGGAAGAGGACCAAAATTGAACATTTGAAAACGTTGAATGAAAGAGATCCGCCTGGCTTATTCCAAGTGACAGAATAACGCATAAATAATTAAACTAAGTTTCCAAGCAGATCTTACAAGTTATGGAAAAAATCATAATAATAATTATTGAATAATTAATAGTATGTATTTATGACGCAAAAACTAGGTATGATTTCAATGTTATACTTAATTGTTAATTCAGTGACGTTTTATGAAAATAAAGAGGTCCCTTTAGTATTTTTTTCCTGTTCGACCTGCTGGTGCACTATTTATTTTTACAGTAATCATAATTTATGTCGATGTGTGCGTGCATTGTTTTTATTAATATACATTATACGTTATGTACTCAATTTTTATATAAAACAATGAGGATAGTAAACTTGCATCCATAACTGTGTTTATTTTTATTTGACTTTTGCCCAAATTTTGTTTTACAAAAAATACACAAAAGTGACTGTGTTAATTACCTATTCAGCAAATTTGCATTGTATCTATACAAAATTAGAAATGGCGTCGAATTAATCTCACAGCAAGTGGAAATGCACAGTTGTGGGCACGATGGGCATACCCACAAACCAAATAGACTTCTGACGTCACACTGTTCGTCATCATCGTCAGCATCTCATATACGCCTCCCCCAATGATCTCCACATCGATCAGTCCTGTGCCACGCGCATCCATCAGATCATGGGTCCACTGTACGGGTGACCACCATGCCACACACATACAAGCGCCCATACATACTTACACACAAACACCCACACACACACATACACACAAATACACACACACACACACACACACACAAACACAAACACCCAAACCCACTTATATATTAGTTGTTTAGTTGTCAATTACCTATTACAACACTAGAAACTGCTATTATGTCAACGCATCAACTCCAGTCCTCAAGAGACAGGTTTACCTAATTTGGGGACTACTGTTAAAACAATGTTAAATTCACATGTCTTCTGTCTAATAAATCATTATTATTATTATAGAATCCTGAGCGACAGCGAGGGAATCAAAAGAGCACTTGGTGTAAAATCTATGCACTTCCACACAATCACAATATACTTTTATTTCAGTTTAGGTATTAACTACTACATTATGATAGATCAGTATTACAGAATAATCTTTAAATTATAGGGAATAATATTTAGGTATATTTAAGAAAAAATAAAAGTCACATTGCTACAGTTAAGTTAGTGTAATATTTTTGTTATGTGCTTTAATGTTGTTGTTGTTAGTGACTTGTGCACTGATTTTTGGTAAACTATCTGTCATACTTAATAGGTGTACTAATTCATCGGGTTCTCTTGTTGGGTATTTGTTGCATATCTTTTGGATTTTCTCAAGGCATCTTTTAGAACACTCCTTTGGGCTTTTTCTAGAGGAATAATTGTCAGAGAACTGGAACCACTTCAAGCCAGTATGCAATAATTAACAAGAGGCTGATACAAAGCTACATAATTCGATGGATTATATATTTGTGCTACATATAATGTGTCTCGAAGGTTATTCATGACATTTATTAGTTTTCTCACACATTTACACATTTCCGCTATATGTGCTCTAAATGCCAGTTTGTCGTCCAGTACTACACCAAGGTATTTCCTGGAGTCAGACAGACTGAGTACAGTCATCGCAATTGCATTTATCAGAGGAAGGTAAGAGAACATAATCAGCCGAGTGTATTTTAATAGATCTCATTTCGACAGACGCAGAATCCGCAGTTTTATGAAAACATAACAACTTCGTCTTACACTTAGATACATTCAAAGACAAAAGGTTACTACTACTAAGCCAACTTGATATAATTCTCATATCATCCTCCACCCTTTGGCGAACTGCTAACCAGGTCTGGTCATAAAAAATAATGGCAGTCTCATTAGCATAACAGAAAACCTCCGTATTTCTTAAATGTACCGAAGCAATGTCATTTATGTAGAGCGGAAAAAGTGTAGGCCCTAGAATGCTACCCTATGGAACTCCAAACGTCACAGGTCTTGTGCTGCTTTTGATGTTTTTGTTTCTAATACATTGACTTTGAAGTAATAAGTAGCTAGTGAACCATTTAAGACAATTTCCCGTATACAGTAAACATCTATTTTTCTTTAAGAGGATCGGAATTGATATTGAATGGAATGCTTTTGCAAGATCCAAGAAGACGCCGATGCATTTGGAACCTTTGTCAAGTAATGAGACTAGTGTATTAGTCAGGAGAGTAACAGCATCTTCTGTGGATTTGCTCTGTCGAAAACCGAACTGTCGATCAAACAATATATCGTTTGGCTCTATGAAAGCTACCAGTCTCTTATTTATGACTCGTTCTAGCAATTTAGCCCCTTGCACTATCTCTCTTATATGAATAGTCTTAATATTACATTTATTAATATAATATGTGCATTAATATATACAGGAACAATGAACCTTAAACTAAAAACCTTAAAAAATATAATATATATTACTAAAGGAGTCCCTTTAGGCAAGGTTCCAAAGATACTGGTAGCGTTCCCCCTTTGAATTGGCTAGTTAACTGCCAGCTCTTCGGTCTCCAGTGATGTCGACTAAACTTTTTGATATTCCCTTAATTATCTGATAATTTAATAGTCTTAATTATCTGATAACCAAATCAGAAATCTTCCAATTTGCAGACGATACCTGTTTATTATCAGCTAATAAAGATTTAAATGCTGCAATGAACACATTGCAACATGACTTTGACCAACTTAACAAATGGTATCATGACAAAGGACTTTGTCTTAATACCTCCAAAACCAAACTAATTGTCGATACATAATAGGACACCATTTAATAAATCCCTTATAACACATAGTCACAGCTGCTTACATGCCGGAGTAAATGACGTTGCATGTCTAGGCGCCTGCGATAACATAGAAATGTTAGAAAATATAACTTACCTAAGATAAGCAATTGATCACAACTTCAATTGGCAAAGTCATATCAACAAAGTGTGTGATAAATTGCGAGTTGAATTGGCTAACTTCAGTCTGATAAAAAATCAAATACCTTATCATATAAGGCTAATGTTATACAAGGCTTTAGGAAAATCGATAGTATCATATGGATTAAGCTGTTATGGCCGCACATATAAATCATAATTAATTCAAATATCTGGAATCTGCAAATTTACAATATTAAAAACAATAGTACCGTACAATAAAAAAATAAAATGTAAAGGAAAAATGAATAAGTTATTGTAAAATAATGGATCATATTTTATTTGGTGCTAGTATGAGCGTACCGTATCTTCCCTTTTTGTTCTAATCTAAGATTGTTTATAATAATTTATAATACAATGTGTAAATGTAATCATCATGTATAAATGCACTAGGTATTGTTAAGGCGCATACAGGTTTGCAAACAAAACTTATGATAATCCACCTTATCTGGATAGAATTTGTCGTAACGATACTATCCATGCGACAAAAGTATCCGGCACAACCTGCGACTTTTGTCAATATAGTCATCCTTTAGTAGATTGTTCATTTAAATCTCCTATCCTTGATGACAGATTGGCCTTCATAATGAAGTTGTGGCGGTGCTTACGATGCCTAAAGAAAAAGTACCACCGATGGAAATTATGCAAGGAAGTATACGGTGTCCATGTTTGCCGCGCTTCTCATCACGCCTTATTATACGGTGCTTCGTCAACTATCAAGACGTCAACCTCACCGGCGCCAATGCCTGCTATAACCGAGGTAAACACTGCCTATGAACCACAGTCGGCCAAACCGCCGGAGCCAACGCCGGTCACAACTGAGGTAAACAATACCCATGAACCACTTTTGTCTCGCAAAGTGAATACGAATTCCGCAAAACGTCACGTGTTTCTCAAAATTGTCCCAGTGGTTGTTTCCGGACCTAAGTGTGCTGTAGAGACTTACGCACTTCTGGATGAGGGGTCCACTGCCACTCTTATAGACTGGGTCTTAGCCAATCGTATCGGCGCGACCGGACCCGCCGGTGATATATGCGTCGAGGGCGTAGGCGGAATGTTTAGAGAAGAAAAAATAAAATTTGATTCGTTCCACATTCGAGGCAGACACCAAACCGAAAGTTATGAAATTACAAACGCGCGTTCGATGCCTAAACTTGCTCTCTGTTCACAGTCAATATCCATTCAGGACCTTACTGGTTGTGATCATCTTTCGAGCGTTGCGGAGCAGTTGATCTACGAAGAAGCTCAGCCTATGGTTCTGTTAGGCGCTGCTGACTGGCCTCTCACTATCTCGCGAGAACTGAAGACCGGACGGCCTTCGCAACCAGTAGCTTGTCTGACTTTTCTCGTCTGGGTTGGAGCACCCAGGTGTGTCGGACAGTAGATCGAAACCAGTAGCCTTTGTGAATCACACTTTCGAAAGCAACCATGAGAATCTATAATCGTTAGTTAAAAAAAACAGTTTAAAAACGATGCCCTAGGGTTTACTAAATATTCTAGAATCTAGATTCTATGGTTCCCAACACAAGCGTGCCTTACAAATTTATCTAGTGGTAGATTTCAAAATGGTCTAATCTGGCGCGCCGATGAATTCTATGTTCTTGACACTTATTATCAAACTATCACTCGGTTGAGAAGTTTAGAGAAAAAAATGCTATCAAACAATGATTTCGCCAACAAGTCGAATAAACAACAAGTTGACGCGTTGCTGTCAAAGGGTTACGGTCACCCTTGTGGCATCAACCATGACTATATTGTAAAATATAGCAACAATAAGTTTTTGTATTTACCCCATTTTGCAGTTATACATCCTCAAAAGAAAATAATGCGTCTCGTTCATGATTCGGCTGCTGTCACAGATGGGGTCAGTCTTAATTCTTTACTGCTTTATGGCCCAGACCTATTACATTCACTATTAGGAATTTTGTGTCGCTGTCGGGAAGGCAGGGTGGGCATGATGGCGGACATAAAAAAATGTTCCCACAAATAAAAATCAGGTTACAATATAGTAGTTTCTTTCGAGGGAGTATGGTAACCCTAACGCTCCCATCAAGGAATACCGGATGAGCTTTACGATCTTCGGCGCCACTTCTAGTCCATGTAGCGCAATTTATGTTTTGAATAAAAACGCCACCGAAAACTCTACGAAATATCCCGATGCTGCAAAGACCACCCTAACCAGCACGTACGTGGACGACTACGTAGGAAGTCTGGATGACGTAGATCAAGCCTGTTACTTAGCAGCTGACAGTGTAGCTCTTCATGGCTTTCAGCCGACAATATCTCGGCAGTCCCGGCACACAATAATGTTAGGGTTTTAGGTCTGAAATGCGACATAAGTTCATATCATTTTAGTTTTGGTATAGATTTCGTTTCAAAATCTGTTCTAACCAAGCGTGTCGCACTGTCACAAGTTATGCGCCTGTACGACCCGCTCGGTTTGCTATCCCCGATTACCATCCAAGGCAGAATAATTTTCCAAAAGGCTTGGCGATGCGGCTGGGATGAACCGTTACCAACCTAGCTATGTAGCCTGTGGGAGTCCTGGTCGCAAAGCCTTTCGGAACTTGAAAATATAACAATTCCACGATGGTATTCCGGCAAACTAGGCGTTCAGTTAAACTCGTCGAGCGTGAGCTTCGTGTTTTCGCAGACGCCTGGTTTTTGGTTGTGTTGCCTGTTGGAAATTTCTCGACGCTCATGGTAACGTGAAATTAACGCTCATCGCTGATAAGTCTAGAGTGACTCCACTAAAGCCTTTATCGATACCGCGACTTGAATTGCAAGCAGCTCTTTTGGCGGTGCGTTTGGCGGCTACTATTACCTCCGAGCATACCGTTAAACCAGGTAAACGTTATTTTTGGACAGACTCTATGAACGTCCTCGGATGGCTACGAAGTGAGGCCCGGTCACTTAAACCTTTTGTCGCCAACCGATTTGGAGAGATCTCCGCTGAGTCAGAGATTTCGGAGTGGAGGTGGGTACCTTCAGCCCTTAACATAGCTGATGATGTTACTCGCGTTTCTAAAGGTATTCAACCTCGTTGGTTTTCAGGACCACCTTTTTTGTTACTGCATCCGAATGATTGGCCAACGGAGGTTCAGCTCTCTAGCGAGATCACGAACTCGCCTCAGTATCATCGTAAATTTAAATTACAAGACGCAGTTAATACTTTGACAGGTCCCGACCCTCAGTCGGTCCCTGTATTGCCAGTCTTGGCATCAGACCCCTCGCATTCCAGTAGTTAGCTATGAATGGTTCGTACAACCGTTCGTGCGTTCCAATTTGTAAATAAACTTCGCTGTCGTCTAAATTAAAAATTTGGGGTACCTATTTCGACTAAAATTTCTTTATCACCTCAGTCATCTCAACCTTCCATTCCGTCTAATGCAATGTCTCCCCAGTTATCTCCACTCAATTCAGAAGATTTTGATCATGCTGAGCTACATATTTAGCGGCAGAGTCAGTCAGAATACTTCCCTGAAGAGTTGAAAAGTCTCAGAGCTGCCACACCTATTTCGAGGCGTAGCAAACTTTAAAATCTTTCTGCGGCGTTAAATGAATATGGTGTCATACGGCTGTTTGGCAGTATATCTATCGTCGAAAATGTGTCTGATACCGTGAAACGGCCGATTATCTTAGCTCCGTCAATTAGGTCATCCTTCCGTTCATCTTCTAGTCGACCACTACCACAGAAAAGCTGGCCGCGCCTACCAAGAGCAAGTAATGAAAGAGATTCGTCAGAAGTACTGGGTCCTTCGGCTGCGCAACCTGCAACCTGTTGCAGAACCATGTAGGTAGGTTTCATGCTCCATAGTGTATTTTATATTCTTTTTGACATTGTTTGCTTTTGTTTCTTTTCTTGTCATTAAATTATATTTCTACAGTCCACAAGAATGCGCTAGATTTGAACCCTCTGAAGAGAAATAGCTATTACACGCTTCCAAGGAGGTTTCCGCACTTCGCGCAATACTTGCTATATCCTACAAAGATGTGCTAGCCTTTTTGAGGATCTGTGTGAAATTTTCCAACCAAAAAGTCTGTTCTATTTCTTTCTTAAGAGCATCGTAATTAATCCTTATGAGTCGCCACAATTACTAAGAACTTTAATTATCAATTGTGAAACAGGCCCTATGTATCATCATATTAGTTATAGTAAATAGATTAATATTATAGATACGGGGACATTACCCGATCGATCGATATGAGAAACTTTATAAACAAAAACTTGTTGTGGTGTTATTTATTTACCTACTAAACCCACTCATGACGCACCCCGGCTTAGAGATAATAAAGTTACGATCATATCTCACCCCATCATCGTTTCCTCTCTTTCATTCATCTCCTGGGATTTAAAAATATTTTAAACATATTATTTGCTCAAAAATGCATTTACGTAGGTTGTATAAAACTAAGTACATAGGCAGAACTTTCAAAATTTTGAAAAATCAATGACGAACAACAATATTTTTTCCCGTGTTAAAGTGTTCATTTGTTTCTTCCGTACTTTTCTTTCTATTTAGAAATCCAGTTCGAAATTGAAATGAAACCTTTGATAAGTTACCTCCGTGATCCTCGCTAGGTTGTGACGGTAAATTTTCTCCTAGTTCCCATCCGCCATACCCATAGAGCATCGGCCGGGAGGGGGCATTTTCGCAGCGCAGCGCAGCGTTCTCCTCTGTCGATTTTCCCCCGCTGTTGACCCAGCTACAAATCAAAACTAAGTTACGCTCGGATATTTCACTAAACTGAGTCAAGTTGCGCGAGTGTATGTTATAGATCAAAAATGTCAAAATGTTATTTAATTTGCTGTAAAATATATCTGGAATATTAACCTTACAAAAGGATGATGTTAAATTTCAAATATCAGCAGAATTATTAACATATTATTTCTATTTAACCACTTTTAAACACAAAATTATTATTATTTTGTTAATTTTGTTAAAATTCAATCATCGGACTTATTTGACAAAATAATCGACTCGCCAGTACAATTTTTTGTCGTCCGCGTACAAAAGTCCATCGTCTGCACAGGCCACTATTCATACGTAAGTACCTTATATTTAGGTAAATATAAAAAAAAACAAAAATATCTAGAGTGCCTCACTGATATACGTGGGGGCCAATTATTGTACCTCGCGGTCAAACGACTATACATTTGTGACATTTTCTTTAGTTAAAAAAAACTAATAATAAATTTACCACAGACAGACAAATGAAGAATTCCGCTAAGGGGTCCAATCATTATAACTGCTAGCTGTTTATTTTTATTTTTAAATTTATTAAATAACTATGTAATCAGGCTGAATGTAAAAAAGAGGCGCACGCATTCATAGTTTGAACTTGATTTTCCGCGCTTTCCATACAATTTCCATCTGCCGTTCATGTTTTGTTTTCGGGATTTCAGAAAAGTTTTGCAAAATACTTATTTGCTGACTATACTTTGTTTAATTTTTAATTATTTTACCATGAGTGAAAATAACGACTACTCGATTACTGATGATACTCGAGTCAACCTATTATCGATAAATAGACTCTCGTGTTTTAATTCCCCTTCTTAAATGACAGTCGCATAACCTACAAATTACCGTACGCAAAGATACGCACGGCGCCATGTATGTGTATGGGATAACTGGCGTGCGTATCCTTTACTTTTTTTTAAATTTCGGTCGAACCTTCTAGGAAGCTCATTTAATCTATACCTTTGTCTCACTTAAATACTAAAAAGAAAAAGAGACGAAAGATATATATCAAATTTTCACCAACCGCACTTGACGCCATTTTCTTGTTAGAAAAAAATACTAATTACTTCATTACATGAACATTATAACGTTTTCTCGCAAATGTGTTAAAAAACGTTGTATGACATTCGAGCGGCATTGGTATTTACAAACTCGTGACTATAGCATATTCATATATATATATATATATACATTCATATAGCGGCAACAGATATTTTTTGTAGTCGGCTTCTTGAATTTCGGAAAGAAATCCAAAGATTAATACTTCATTAAGAAAAAAGAAGATCAGTTAATTTGTACTTTAATTTAAGTGTTTTTTTGTTGTTTAATTGTTGAAATTCGATTTAAAAAAAAAACTTCAGCCCATTATAATAAAAAAAACAGAAATACATTATCTGTGAAAATTTCAACTGTCTAGCTATCACGGTTCATGAGGTACAGCCGGTGACCGACAGATAAACAGACTGGCAGCAGTGGAGTCTTAGTAATAGGGTCCCGTTTTTACCCTTTGGGTACGGGACCCTAAAATTAACGAATAATGCATAATTATAAATAGTGGATAATCTTCAAGATCTCCCCACGGTACAGTCCCGTAGATAAGATTTCAATTTTAGCAGGCAATAAATTTATAGAAAACAATTAAGTTTAGCTTATCAGGGATCGATTGCAATAGAATCGGATGTTTACTAGCCGATAAACTATAAATAAAGAGAATGGCGGTTTTATTTTGGTATCAGTAATGAAGTATCACAATATGTTGCGTATCGCTTTGATCTGTTGTATTGCCGGTGTAGCTTTAGCCGGCCCTTCGGTGGCGAGGTCAAGGGCGGAGATCGAAGCTTTCACAAAATTCTTGGAGAGCACTAAAACTGGTGAGTAATTGTTATTAGTACCTACCTACCCCTCTGAGTATCCCTTGATTTTAAGGAAGGAGTTATAAATACTGGGAGGCCAGCAACGTTTTTTCCATACAAACGTTCGATCGATCGAATCGACTGATTTCTCCTTGAATTTTCAGCGTTAACTACTGTTGTCCCTATCGCACGGTATATGCCAATGCGTGACAGCAATAGTTTTATCAAAGACTCATTTCTCAAATGTCTCTCAGCTTCAAAGCCGAAACTACCGAAGCAACTTTGAGAATTGTAGATTTCTTTCACTGTCCAGGTAAACAGCAAAAATATTTATAGACAGTCATTATCGAGTGTAAAATAAGTTGAAAAGTTGTATGGGAAAGGTAGAGTTGGCCTTACTTCGTAACCAGAAGAATAAATTGAATTAGTGAAATCCGACTGCGAAAAAATTCATACAAAAGCCATTAGGTAGACATAAAATTATCCAAATGTGAAATGAACTCGAAGATTTCCTCTTTCATTTGGTATCCTACTCGATATGATTACAAAAAATAAAGTCGCAGTACACGGTGACACAAAGATCAGCATTGGCTTTGCCGTAATTGGGTAAAAATAGTTAAATAGAATTAAAGAGAGGAATCAATGTGTTTATAATGTCACACTTTATCAAGTGATTGTTGTTTATAGATATGGCCTGTGCCCCAGGAGTAAGGACATTGCTGATGATACTGATGGTGATGGAATTTTGTTGTAGGTACATATCATACAAAGCATTTCACAACATTAACGTCACTGGCTATCCACAGACGATGGTGCGCAGTTCCTCGCTCGTATACGCGCCTCTCCCCTCGCCAATGCCGAGGAGAACAGTGGAAAGTATCAGGGTGACATCGTGCTGGATGACTTCATGATCGAGGGCATGATCAAAGACTTCGCGGCCGGCAGGAACGCTTATATCTTCCCTAACACAAGGTGGCCGAACAACACAGTCATATGGGAATTCGGAGAAGGAGAATTTGGTATGTTTAGTTTTACGTTACTGAATCAGTTGCTGACTTAAAAATTTTAGGAAGTAACAGTAATCATAATTTTGGGGAACCAATCGGTTGTAGATGATGGAGAGAAACATTTGAATTAAGAATTAAATAGAGGAATATGAGTATCCTTCCACTGAACTAATACGAATCTACGCCGTGTACCTACAATCAGGCACTCATAGATCAGTTTTATTGCATACTAATATTGATACTCTTTTGATATCATTAATTAGGTGTGAAACATTTAACTTTTCAGAACCTAGACACGAAGAAGCTATCATTGAAGGCATGAAGGATATAGAAAAGCATACATGTGTGCGATTCCGCAGACGTGAGCCTGAGGACTTCTCATATGTACACTTAACAGTAAGTGAATCTATAATATTCATCTCAAAAGCTTAATTTCGAATATTAATGCTTTCTTATTATTACTTCATTAATCTTTAACAACTTGGACATAGGTAATGATCCTGTGAAAGCTCTGATCTTATGATAAACGAAAATTTATATAAGTTTAACTGTTCGGGTTCTCAGAAGAGAATAATGGCAGCCAGCAATGACTCAAATTCGTGACAACTTACTTTGAAACTTATTTTATTACCGAAATTACACTTTCAGTAGTTACGCTGAACATGAGGATCAGTTTTGTATGTAAGACATATCAAAGTAAATTAAAGCAATAAAACAGTGTTTTTGTTGCGAATTGCCTACGACCTGAAAAAAATTGGATTCAGAGTATCAATGAACAAAATAGATTTTGTGATCAAGGTGTCGTGTCTGAACTCCACTTCACACGCAACATAAAATGGAACTGAGTTACTTGCCTTCTTAGCACAAAAAAACTATGACGCAGTTTAATGCTTCATTTCCAAACGAATTATTACCAACATATTGTTATGTACTTCTATGCAGGGAAAGTCTGACGGATGCTACGCCCACGTCGGCTACTGGGCGAGGCGGGGCCCGCACATTTACAACTTGGCGCATAGCGTTCCCGGTGTCGGTTGTTTCCGTCACGCCACCATAGTCCACGAGTGGCTGCATATCCTCGGCTTCTTCCACATGCATTCGACACACGATCGAGACAATTACGTCAAGATCCTATATGAGAACATGACACCAGGTATTTATTTCACATTTTGTATAACTCTCTCGCGTTGTGCCGTAGACAAATGAAAATCCTTCTATACTTTGAACTCTCTTACAAAAGATTTAAAATTATGAACATATCTCAAGAAATGTAAGTAGCGATTTATTCGCTCGAATCATTATTCTGTACGGTGATGAGAGAAAAACAGCCCGTGCTGTTTCGTACTGATTCTTCTCACTATAAGATCGCTCTGAGTTTGTGCACTGACATGACACTTTGGTTTTTTTGTATCAATAGCCTGTTTAAGCCTCGTTTAAACTGTGTGAGGAAGATTGTCAAAACACGTGAGTAAATACACCGTGATATTGTTAGCATCCAATAAATAAGGCTATTGTGGACTGTTGCCATGAGGTGGGCCGAAGAGTCATATGCTCCTTTACCTATTCATAAACAAAACAGACACACTGTTCTCTTGTAAAAGTTGTTTCCTATAGTTGTATTTAATGTTGTTACATTTCTTACTAGGAAGTGAGTCAGCTTTTAATCTCTACACTGATAGCCAAGTCGACAACCTTGGTGTGAAGTACGACTACGTGAGCTGCATGCAATACGGTCCCCGTGCTTTCAGCGCCAATGGCCAACCAACTATAGTCGCTCTGAAGGTCTGTCAAATAAACTTTATTGTTTCAGGAACATACATTTTCACTGCGAATTATATAATGTAACCGATGGTCTAGAGCAGTGGTGCCCAACCGGTAGCTCGCGGGCACCTGGTAGCCCGCGAGCTGTATTCTAGGCGCCCGCGAACAATTTTGGTGTAGTTAAGTAGTTAGTTTTTCAGTGCGGTTTATTAATCGACCATTGTTATTAATTTTGGTGTAATAAATTAAATAAACAATAAGTAATTTGTTTCTTAGGTTTTCATGCACATCACTCATTAAATAAAACTAGTTCAAACGGGTTAATGCACTAAATTTATTTATTTATTGACGTTTCATTCAAACAATAAGTAAATTAGGTCTTATAAAGTAGTTTCCTTTAATTCACTTATGATTTTTTATTAAGATGGCGGTGCCCGCGTAGCGTATCAAGATTTTCAAAATAGCCCTTGGAGCAATACCACTTGGGCACCACTGGTCTAGAGATTGTTAAACCGTTCGATACAGAATCTGGAAGTTGACCTCAACACATGTTTGCAAGTTTGATGTCAACTTTCAATTTGACAACACTGTATGAAATAAAACAGTGAGAAAAAAGCAGCCCTTGCTGAGTTTCTTGTCGGTTCTTCTCAGTACAAGGTGTCCCGCCGTAGTTTTGCGAACCGATAGCGTAGTTTTCGACTTTCACATGTGCTTGAAAAAGCCTAAACTGAATAAATGTCTTTTGAATTGAATTGAATTGAATCAAATCTGAATATTACTACTCCAGTCAGTGAAGAAATAATATCCCGATTTGATTCTATTTACACTGGAAAATGGTACTCACATTTGATTATATTTAAACTAAACCTATTGCACTTTGAATCTACTATTAATTAAATCTCCTAGGTTGTGTGTGTCGTTGGATAATTTGATAAATCGAATTTTCGCGAAATTCCTAGGGATTTTACGTAAACGCGGATACAAAGATAATGTCGACGACATTTCTCAATCTTACTGAAACGAGATTTTCGCGAAAACCTCAGCCTCAGTAAGATTGCGAAAAAAATCATTGGCTTTTTATAAATTATCTTGGGGATTTGGTTAAGTTAGTGTTGTGACCATGAAGCTCAAGCCGAGCGAGCATAGAGAGCCGCGGCCGGCGAAACGGCAGAAAATAAAACCTTAAACCTTAACCGTTTTCTAAAAAAAAATACATTTTAGGAGCACGAAGGCGTCATGGGTCAAAGAATTTTCATCACTGAAAAGGATTGGCTTCGTATCAACCGCCACTACGGATGCGAAGGAGCCTGGGACTAGAGAAATTTCAAAGAGTACCTTTATATTGTAAAAATATAATTATAATATCGTAATTAATTTATTATAATATTATTATAAAAACATTTGACCCCAGAAAACTGTTATGGGAGCTCAATTTTACTATTTTCCTTAGTACAAATAGTTCGCCAAGGACTCATAGGTAAATATATTTATATTTAAAGCAATGCTGGCATATATATACATCAATATATCTTCTTACCATTATAAAGTTTCTCATTTGTAGGCACATGTCCCACTGATGTAACCGAGAATAAAATCTACAGCGACAAATATACATTTACGCCTTTTGTCATATCCCCTGTAGCGGAAAAGGCACAAAATATAGGGTTACAGGAAATTCGACGTAGATACTTAAGGACAATAATGTTTAGGTCATTCATCGCTAATAGATTTCATATTCTACTGTCAAAAAGTTAACCGTTTAAAAAAAAAAGGGGTTTGTTTTTTTTCTTAAAAATACCATTTTTGCTCTGTCCAAAGTCTGATGCAAGAGACTAAAATTAAATATAAAATTTATATTTATTTTTCGTCTCTTGCTATTTTTATGTGGAAGACATGCAAGTCTATGAAAATTATTTAATTATTAATTTTCATAGACTTGAATAATCTGCTATCTGGTTAAAGTAGCAGCAGTATTTTTTGCAAATTCGAGTATTGAAAAAAAACTCTGCAGTTTATAAATCATTTCAGAATGAATGTTAGTACACGAAACGGCCCCATTAGAAAAAAATCCTAGCTACACCAATGAGTACCGATTAATATCAGTGAAAGTTCATTCCAAATAATTAAGCCTTTAATATGAAAACTTAAAAGGTTTTAATTACAAAATGTTCGTCAACAGCGCATCAAACTTCTTTATTTATTTTTTTCACAATAACAAGATATACCGATATATCCCTTCGCAATCGCTTCGAAGGGTGCGGTTTCGAGTCCCGTCTGCTGCCTGGTCCGCGTGTAATTTTTTCTAGTTATATTTTCTTTAGATTTAAACATCAAGCAGTTACATGCTTTAAAATAATAAAAATTATAACTATAATTGCTATTTCTTCTTTCAAATGTTTAATACTTGTAAAGTATTCATTTCACATTGTGGGTTACCTATAATGCGAAGAGATGGCGCTGCCTTGCAGCTTAAGAATGGCTAGAAGAATTTCGACGTGGTCCGTGAGGGCCGCGGCAGCATAATTGGTCAGTGCATTCGCCAGGATTGCGAAGGGTGCGGGTTCGAGTCCCGTCTACTGCCTAGTCCGCGTGGATTTTTTTCTAATTATATTTTCTTTAGACATTTATCTTTAGACATCAAGCAATTACATGCTTTAAAATAATAAAAATTATAAAAAATATTTTGTTTCTCCATTTTTAGTGTTATGTGAACATCCTTTTTTGAAGTCTGTTAAAAAGAGGTTCCTTGCATCCGCTCATTTCATCAGTGTGTGATGGAAATTGTAATTGTGAAACACCACTCTGTTTATTAAAATAAAATCTTTATAACACTACACCAATAAGCCTAGCTCTAAAGTAAGCACTGTGTCAGGCTTTTGTTATAGGATACTATGGTAACGAAATACATTGCAATGATACATATTTATGTATATTTTGCAAGTAATTTATATAAAAATACTGACTAAGAAAATTCGATGTAGGTAGGCGTTACCATCCTAGGCCTCATCATCGCTTTCCATCAGGCCAGATTGTGGTCAAACACCTATACTATTCAACTTTAAAAAAGAACGAACCCAGGTCCCCTGAGTTTGCAACACCTATAAAACTGGTTTACATGTAGTGGGATGATTTGATAAATCGAACTTTCGCGAAAATCCTTGTGACTCACCAAAACAGGGATAAATTAGACAAAGATGACATTCCTCAATCTTCCTGAAAAAAGAAATGATTTTTGAATAAACGCAAATCGCCTCAGTAAGATTGCGAAAAGAATCGTTGGCTCATTATAAATATTCTTGGGTTTTTGGGTTCACACTAGGTTAGGTTAGCGTAGTGCCAAAAAAAACGTGAACAGTAAGATTGAGCAATGTCGCCATTGTTTAATGATCCGTGTTATCCCAATATCTCTAGGATTTTCGCGAAACTCACACCACAGAGGTTTTCAGTGTGACATGTGATGACAGTGTAAATAATCCAGTCAATATAGACATTCCTTACCCACAAACTTATTCACGAACACCACTCTTTTGGAAATATTCGTTTTTGTTGGGTTAGGGGGCATGTAGGGATTGCAGGTAACGAGGCTGCGGATGCTGAGGCCGGTCGCGCTGCAGGTTTGAGAAGGGCTCCTGATTACGACCGATTCCCATTATCATATGTAAAGCGCCTTTCTAGGATTCGCATTCGCAAAGAGTGGGAGAAACGATACCAAGAGGCTGCTCAAGGCTCCCACACTCGAGATTTATTCCCCTCTATAACAATGATTCACAATTTTTTCTTAATCATCTCTTCCTCTTCATTCTTTCTTAGTCAATTTTTAACAGGACATGGTGCCCACCTTTCTTATTTATACCGCTTTCACATTGCTGCATCTAGCGCATGTCCATGTGACACTCAGACGCCACAAGATCCTCTTCATCTTTTGACTGATAGTCCAAGATTTACTATTAATAGACTTAGACATACTGCCATATGCTCACACAGCAACATTAACCCGTTTCATATTCCTGATCTTATATCGAAACCAAAACTGCTCAAATCTTTTGTCGCACTCGTTGAAACTATCTTCTCAAAACTGAAATCTTTCAATAACTCTTCTTTACCCTCTTCCTCCCACTGAGTTGGTATATTCTAAGTTTTTTTTTTGAGCTTTAACCAGAAATCTTCGTTTACGGCACGATATACCTGTTGAGGCTTCTAGATTTCTTCTCGGTTTATCCAAATCATGAATACATATCCATATATTAGATATACTCAGAGTTAGTGAAGCAACTTTAGAATTTTTGCTAAGGCTTCTAACGAGGCCTGTTCAAAGGCGTCCTTTCCGCGGCCGCCGGAGATGCGATCCAACACAGATATGTACTTAAATCGGGGCCTATTTTGTTTTTTGTTCCCCCACCGTCCTTTGGTGTGTCTTGACTTTTACCCACTAAGATAGATACTTACAAGTTTAATTATGCATTTAGCATCACAATATAATGTACATTACAATATTGCACTGTTAAAGCCTGCGCTGCCTTAGGCGGGACGTCGGACGGGCGCGAGTCCGCTCGCCGTGCAGTTTTTTTTTTGTGTCATTTCTCGGAGCGCTGGTGCTGCTATATGAAATGGCATGAAGCAAGCGCGCCGAGCGGGTGCCCGCTCTGTGTCCCGCTTAACGCAGCGCACGCTCTTAGTTTTTTTTTTCTGTGAATGTTATAATTACGTTATATTATATAATAGTTTAAAAGTGTATATAATAATTACCTTAGGACTCATTTGATGAGTATGATTGCGTGTGTGTGTGTATCTCTCTCTGTATGTGTGCATGAGTTTGCGTGAATGTGTTGAGTGAACCCTGTATTCTATTAATAACGCATACTTTTGATAACCAAAGCACTACGCATTCGCTTCGAATTGGCTGCTTCCACCCTCCCAGCTTCAGAATACCGCGCCTTCAACAGTCCCTATTAGTCGACCTTATTGGACGATGGTACCAGTTGATGTGCCTGTGATTGGCCATCGACGGCCAACTCGAAGCAAACGAGTAGTCTTTAACGCCACTAATGTGATTCAACTTTTCTTTACTTTGTTTTTGACCTCCCTATTTTCTTGTATACCTACTTTTATCTTTACTATCCTTCTATGCTTCCTCTTTCAGACTTCTGCCCGTGCCCCTGGCTGTATCAAATAGCAGCCTCGAGCACGGACAGTATATTATTAAACATGTTGAAATTTGATTAAAAATAACATAATTAAAAAGACATATTGTAAATAATCGAATAAAAAAATTATGAAAAAAAAATATAGACATTCCAGTTTGCATTAATTCCCAACAAGCTGGATTTTTGTGCAGGCCTTGAATACGTCATTACAAGTGTTATGTCAAAAGTCCCCATCGATCCCGCTTGTGCGTTGTTTTTTATTCGAGGTCAAAGGTCACAAATTTGCGTTTTTTGCGTATATCCCTGAAACAATGAGAGCTACCGAAAAATAGTTCAAACAAAGTTTGTAGATCGTAAAATTGTCTACAAAAAAGATCTCAACACTTTTCTTCTACAAAGCATCGCTTTCGAGATATCGTGACTTTAGACCGCAGGAAAGTCGTATTTTCGACTATATGCACACATTTCCGCACTACCTCTGAGGTAGTGTACACGGCGCTTTCTTTTTAACGAATAGGAATACTCCACAATATATTTTAATCGAGAGAATGTAATGGGACACTATTTTATTGATGAAATTGTTTTTTATTTAAATTTAACGAAAATTTTAACAGCAAGAATATTACATCATCATTCATCATCAAATTCTTCATGGTCACTCGTTTCTTCCTCTTCACTGTCTTCTTCCTCTTCTTGCTCGATTTGTATAGACTGCTCCAAGAAGAGAGATATATCAGTTATATCCTCATCAATTTCGAAACGATCTTCATCTGTTGAAAGACGAAATGACGAACGAAACGAATTCAATAAAGGTTTTGTGGCTAGCATTCTAAAAGAAAAGTTTTTACTGTGTGACAATACTTATGACCTGACTGTGTAGAAGTGTCCACAAAATCAGAAATTCATTAAAAGGACTTTGCCTTTAAATGAATTTCTGATTTTGTGGAGCTTAGTTATAATCGGTTATACAGCTATATTTATTTTTATTTCTATTAACTTTCTTAAAGTTAATAGAAATAAAAATAAAAAGTAACTCGTTAAGCGAGTGTTTATCACTATTATAGGAAATAAATAAATATTTTTCTAACATGCATTAAATTTTCATATAAAACTTAGACGCAACTGTCAGTTTAACGATTTCTTTAAATTTTCATCTTAAAGAGTCTATTGCCTTTAGATTGTAAATTGTATAAATGACCTAACCCATAAGTGATCTCTAAATCCGTAGTAGTTTCATTAAAAACGCAATCAAAAGCCTAGGATAAGTCGCAAAACACTTTTAGAGCGTCATACGAGGTCTCCCAGATGTCAATTTTTTTTGGATGTGCATCGGTTGTAGCACAGATATAGGATTGAAGTTTACTGGCCACACTCCAGTCGATGCTCGGACATCGACCTATGTGGCATTGAGGACGTCAGAAATGCATGATTCGATATTTAAAAGTTTGTCATTGAACCATATGACCCGCCTGATGGTAAGCGGCTACCATCGCCTATAGACGCTTGGGATAGCAAAGCTGTCAAGCTAAGCTAGAGCTGTTAGATAACAAGGGTAGGCACCCTTACCAATTCTACTACCTCGTGGAGCCCCGGAACCATACTTACTTACCGACAGAAACACAGCATCACCAAAAGGCAGTGTTATTTCACTGTGGTCTCTGCTCTGTGCTAGTTTTCTCCTAACCATGGTAGATTTGGTAGGTAGTTTACTATGGTATTTTTTTTCCATTCCATGGTAGTTTTTGCTCAACCATGGTCATGAACCCATGGTAGTATTTATGATAGTTTCCTCAATATATGGTGGTTTTCTATGGTACTTATATTTTTAATTTAGTTCTATCCGAGTGTTCAACAAATCTGATATGGTCATTATAGTATACATTAATTTGGTCGACACACAAAAAGTGTGCCCGTGATGATAGCTCTCACCAGAAAGTTAATTGAACTTGTACAGTAACAATTGTTCGTGTGAATACCGAGTTTTAATTTAAGGCGCACCGTTTGCAATGGCAGTTACGACAAACACAAAGGTGCCACCTACTGGTGGTCGCAAACACTGCGGTTTCCATTAGAGAGCAAAGGTCAAACACACCCAACGGCGGAATATAACTTTCGACCTTCTGTATCCTCAATACGCGTCCATTGTTCTGCCAGCTGCTCAACACTGACAAGACTGCCTGAACGGCTGTGATAAACGAGGGGGGCGGTCACCAGATTCCTCCAGTACTCCTTTCGTCACCTGTTGCCGCCGACTTCCAAGAAGCCGTCTACTCAGCTCAAGGTACGAGGTGTTTTATTCGGTGATTGACGCAATTTTCGCAAACCTACTGTTCTCTGTCGTTAGCGACAAACTTTAGGATTACTTCCCAAGTGAGTTATCTACCCTGATTGAGTAGGAAATTCATCCATCTTCCCTCGGTCTCACACAGACCTACACCTGTTACTTGGGGATTCATTTCATAATCGATAGCAGGCTAGGACTAATAATCTCACTACTCATAGTAAGTATAAGAACACTAGTATAACGTAAATTTTCCATTCGCGAATTCGATATGTGAAGTCGATGAATTTCAATCAGATTTTTAGATGGTCAATCGATTCCATAAAATTGAAGCTTCCGGCAATAAAGTTCCCGAGGGAAAGGAGATTATTTCAGGAGAGGAGGATGGGTAAGTCAACTGTCGTGACCTAAGGTTGCGTGAGCCGAACGAGCGAAGATAGCGTGCCGCGGGAGCAGCCGGTGAAGCCCTAGAATCTCGGTCTGAACCTGAAGTCAATGATGCAGCCTGTAGAATTCTAAACCCGTAGAACAAATATCATGTCATGCTTAGAGGAATGTAACTAACTCATATTATAAATGCGATGGTGATTTTGTTTGTTTGTTACGCTTTCACGCCTAAACCACTGAACGGATTTGGATGAAATTTGGTACGCATAAAGTTTGTGACCTAAATTGAGACAAAGCATACTTTTTTACCCGGGAGAAAATAAGTTCCTGAGGGATCTTCAAACAAAAACAGCGACGAAGTCGCGGGCGGCCTCTATTCATAAATAAGTCTTTACTTTTTATATATATCATGTTTTAATTACAGAATGTATACATTATCAGCTTTTCAAATCTTTTGTTTATTTTTCCACAATTATTCAAAGTCTTCTAGGTGCTCAAATTCGTCTGCCGGCGGTTGATCAAGTTCCTTCTCCACTAAATGCCCGTTTTCAGCTTGTACGATCGCTGTGGTTCTAGCCTTCGTCATAGCTTCATCGCTCCAGGCTCCAGGACAGTTGTAGTGGCGTTGCAGTCTCAAAATATCCCAGCCAGAAATATGGTCAGTTTGACCTAAGACACCGTTGTATTGCTGAAATTTATAAAAAAAACAGTATTACTGTCGATACAGGCGTTTTACTAGCACCATATATTAGAGCGGAGAGTGAATGGGGTATATTGCATTGTTGAATATTTACACGATATTTGGATCGCAGTGCCTATCATAAGTTGTAGCGGCGATACTGCAATACGGCAAAATATTACACTGTCAATAATATCACGATATCATTATATTATTAACAATCTAATATGCCCCATTGAATTGTTACATCAATCATTAATGTGTGAACAGAAAAATATAATGTTATGAATGGAGGATAATTCCATAAAAAATGGACATAGTTCAAAAGTGGTAGTCGGTTTCCGGCAGCGACGAAACATATATTTTTTAAAAGCTTGTTTTATATTATAACATGAACAGATACTTTGACAGAAAGATATTTTTTATTTATCTAATTATAAATAAATACATAATTTTGTAAAGATGCAGGCCACCCCGTCATAATTTACGTCATATTATAATATGAAGAATATAACTAATGACGAATATAACTAATAATATGACGTGAATTATGACAAGGTGGTCATAATTTACGTCATATTATTAGTGTGTGGCAGCTTATAACGTCTCAATCACTCTTCCAAATGTCATAAGGCCAGTCATGCATAATATTCGTGAAATCATGGTTCAATCAATTTATGATTCATTCTTCTTGAACTAAAATACAAACAAAATACCTAATAGTGTAATGAAAGATGAAAAGAATAATTATCACTGCTTTAGTTCTCTATTGCAAAGGATATATTTGATGCTTTGGCAACAAAAAATATATAAATATACTAACCATTTGCCAATCAATAATGTAATTTAATATTATAATAATTATTCTAAAACAATATATAAATCTAAATACGGGAATAAAATAAATTAAGTATGTCAAATGATTAAAAATTAAATGCCCTACATGTCATCAAAATTTGGAGTCTGCCGAAGACTAACTCCCTCCATACAAATTCTTCTGAAAAGGCCGAGTCTGTAGGCCAAAAAGGACTCATCCTCGGAATGTCAAGCAGACTACACCTGTGCTCGTGACGCCGTAAGCTCGTAAGAGATGTATTAGGACACTTCTCTTCAGAAGTGTTTTCAGAAGATTTATTCAAACCTTAAAAACATAAAAATGTTTGAACTCATCGCAAGACGAGGTTGTATTGTGACATCGTACGAGCGTTTCCAATTAGGACGATCACTAAGGCAGCTGATATATTCGTGGTCAAATGAACGACTTTTCTCAAATAACGCGCTTCCTACCGCATTGGGAGCTATAATAAAAGTTGTTCAAGATGCTATTTACATATTTTTTTATACGACTGACCGTTTTCGAGTTAATGCGGTGAGCGTGTAACTCTCAGCCTTGTGGAATATTATACAAAGACAACGCGTTTTTGAAGTACTCGTTAATTGATGTTTAATGCAGTGAAAAAATAACTTTTATAACATAAAAACAACATTATTTAATTTTCTAATGGATAGCCATATCGCTTTTTGCGCTATATCTTGAAACGGTCAGTGAAATATAAAAAAGTTTTAGACAAAACATATGTGAAACTGCATGTTTAGCAACTTTTGTTATGGGTTCCAAAGCGATAGGAGCAATAGAAAGCGAGATATACGAGAAAAATATTTTTTAACGTTTGACCTGGAATGCCAGCTGAGTCCTAGAACCACGAAGTTCTAGCTATAACTTCATGCCTATAACCCACCTATTGTGACTTTTGACAGGTTACTCCTCATGTCGAAGTAAGGGCTCTGCAAAATTTTAGCCTATTACCTCAACTCTTTGTTTATCCTCACATTCAGAGGTAAGAGTCTTATTAGACTAGATTACCTCTGTGATGACATTGTTATACTATGCATACAGATAAACATATATTTCTCACCCTAGTAGTGCTAAGAGTAGGACGGCCATTCCTGCTGAAGTAATGAGTCCCGTAGTGCATGCAGCTACCATACTCGTATGGAATTCCCAGATTCGTGGTATCGTCGTACCGGTAGAATGCGTGAGCAAATCCTAAACAAAAAGTAATGTTTTTATGTATCAATACCTGTTAAAATACAACATTTTTTGTCCTATACAACTGAGCATTTATTTATGATATTGGGTATTGGGACTATAGTTTCACTGAGCACTCTTTATAGTTATAAAAAACACAACTACCCTCAAAAATAATTACTAAAAAGAAAAAAAAACATTTTACAGGTATAAATGCGTTTATATGCCACCATATTTGTATATATTTGATATGGTAGGTCTTTCAAATGATACCTTTATTTTTTATATAATAATATAATGATATATTTTTTTTTTATATAAGTTGAATATATTTTTATCCCGGAATTGCCGAGGGAATGGAAACTTCGCGGGTAAAACTGCGGGGCGCAGCTAGTAATAACATATTAGAGCAAATTTGCTGAATATATTTTATAGATAACTTGCATTAACTTGCTTGAACTCTTATTTCTCGTCGTAGAGATCGAATTTCAAAAAGATATGACCTACGTTATTTAGTTTCAGTTTAGTTTATCTAAACCAAGTTTCAAAGCTGTCAAGCTAGCCAAACTCGTTTCCCCATTCAAACCCTATATCACCCAATTCACGGTGGCATATTCAAAAATCCTTTGTCACTTGATGCCTTATACGTCATTTAAACAACCTATTAACTAATAGTCATTTTCCGACAGCAAAATTTGCCTAACTACTGATTTCTCAGTTTTCCTTATGTGAAAGTCCGACTCTCCCAACTGTGGTGTTTGTCATAGACTTGAAGACGTGTTTCAACTTGCTCACAGAATTTGTCCAAGATCAACACTAATGACAATCCTTGGTGGCCCGACTACGTTTGAACATGGTTTGAACACATCTGAATGTTGGCATTTGCCAAACTACTTTGACATTGCACCTGCATCAATGCTTAGGTCTGGATAAACTTATATCCATTATAATTTGTGTATTTCTTCAAGCTATGATGGGAATGCCTGACTGCAAAAGCCCCCTCATTACTGGAAATACTTAAAAAAAACTATAAACATAAAATCTTTACCAACCGTCTTGTATATTTTCCCAATGGATGCGGACGTATTCGTCCCTATTATGGGTGGACTGCATGTGGTGGAAGCCCAAAATGTGATACCACTCGTGGGCGACGGTAACGAAGTCAAGGCAGCCAAAGCCGGGGGTGCTGCGAGCTAAATTCAAGGTGTGCGCGCCAAGGGTGGAATGGAAACCAACGTGGGCGTAGCATCCGTCGGATCTGCCCTAGAATAAAAAATGGAATGCTATTCACGAGGCACAGACTTATGACCGTATTCACCTTCACTACGTCACGTTAGGTTTTTCTTTTTTTTTTAAATAACTGAGTTTAGTACCCAATAGATGTAAACTGATTAATAAAATAAAAAGAAAACTGGGTTTGAATGTTAATGGTGTCGGGCGAGTGACCTGCGCCTCGGCGATCCGTGGTTTAGGGCGGGCGACGCGCAGGTCAGTGTTTTCCAGTTCGGTCGCCCACCAGCTATAACGCATCACGTTAGGTTAGATTACGCCTTGGCCACGTAGACGGGCTAGGCTATGCACGGGTGAGGGTGACTTTTGCGAGCGCGGGTGGCATGCCACGTACATTCAGTTGCGGCTACAGCGGCTGACTAAGTGGACGTATTGAGGATGGCTCTAACTAAAGTGATGCGTAGTAACCTTGACAGCAGTTCGTATTTTATGGCGAATACTATACTATACTTGTACCTTCTTATCAGTAATTAGGTATTATCTAATAAAACTTACTGTCCAGATCTGGAAAAAGCTGTTTGATTCCTTCCCATAGTCTTTTTATTACATTTTTATACTTGTGATGTGGATGCTTTGACATCCATATAGGTGGTCGGTTTAATATTTGTGTAATAAATGCTTCGGTGTCCATAATAAAATACTGCCGCTCGTGGATTCGACCAAAGAATTTTGTTTCACTCGATCCGTCCCGCGCTAGCCGTTTTCAACTGCCCGAAAAACCGCTGTGCACCGTGGCCATGCGCAAACTAGCCCACAGCTTTGTTTCCACCCGCCCGCCTCGCCCGCCACCGCTGCCCCGAACCGCCGCCGCCAGCCGCAGCCGCTGTAGCCTGCTGCGCGCGAGTCGTGGCATACTTCATACATTCTCATACATTTCTTTAATAAGCCAACCGCCGCCGCCACCCGCAACCGCTCCTAGTCCGTCTCCGTGGCCAAGCACTAGGCAACTCAGGAAGAAGAAGCTGCGCCTTCAACTAATGAAAAACAAAATGATGACATACCGTAATTCTAACGAAGTTCCTGTCGCTGGAAGTCCTGGTGCGGAATCGCACGCAAGTGCGAATGCTGAGCCTCTCCATAACCATCAAGATGTATCTCTGCTGGTCGAGATCTGTGAACGCAATAATAGATATCCATATTTTAATGATATTTGAAATGGTTGGCCTTGCAGCCTACGAAATACTAGAAGAAATGCGACACGACTATTTAGTTTGAGGTAACATAATTGGTCAGTGCATCCTTCCATTCAGCAGAGGGTGCGGGTTCAATTCCGTCTGCTTACTGGACTGGGTGGAATTGTTTCTAGTAGAAAATTCTTTAGATACAAAGACCTAGCAGTTAAATGCTTGAAAAAATATGAAATAATCAATTCGCTCGTGTTTTATGAAAGCGAAATAATTCTAATAATGTGCCAAGCATTAAAATAGAAGTAAACCCTACCGCATGCTATGTGCCTCTTTCAAGCATTTAAGAGTTGTAGATCATAGTTACTTTTGTCTAGAATCGTATCGTAGCGCCCATCCGCACCCTTAACACGAAGTATTATCGAATTCGAATACTTGAATTCGATCTCGATACCCGTCAAATGTCTAGAGGTTTAGTATGGAAGATTTTCAACTCTCGTTACGTCCGTTGTGGCACTGTTAAAATTTCCATACAAAACTACTTGACATTTTCACTATTCAAATTCATTGACACAACTATCCAAATTTATTATTTAGGTACTCACTGAACTCTCCAGACCCGAACTCGTACACGACTGTCGACTGAGGCCACCTTGAATTGGCCCTGGTGGTCGCCATCCTTCCAGAAGAGGAGAAACCGTCTACTAAGTCCTGGATCTGCTCGTCAGTCAAAATCATGTCTCCCTCGAACTTGCCGCTGTTCGCCCATTCGCTCTGCAGAGGGCGCATCGCCATACGTTCCTCCAGAGTGAGACCATCATCTAAAATATATATCTAAGTTACGAAAATGAAATAAAAAACAGTCTTGCATTAAAACAATCTTGCGACTACGTAAGCACCTTGCGATTGCAATCATGCGTACGAAGAATAATGATAAACTCGAATATACCCGATCAAAAAGTGTTAAACTGCATACGGATAGCGCGTTCATTTGCTACGCGTATTCTACGCGTAATTGTTGGGACACCCTGGCCACGCATTCAGCTCCTGTACAAACAACCTCTGCGCGAATCAGAAAGCGAGGCCTAGCGATCCATAGCGCAAGGGTTATAGGGCGCTAGGCGTGTGCGTAAGCAATACATGCTCACGTGAGCGCCAGGACCTAAATGTGGAAAACCAGTCGCAACATGTCGAAAATCAAAAATAACGGCGAGGTTCCGGGGGTCTACTCTCTTTCTCCGAAACGAACTTTCGATAACGTAGTTCAAACGAAATTTCATTTTTCAATTTGGGTTTACAGTTCATTTGAACGATAAGCTATCAAATTCAATTTTTCACTGAGTAGGCTAAGAGAATCACAACCTCAATCTATTTTGGGGCAAACATTTAATATTCTAATTAGAAACGAATAAAAAATATAATAGTAAGAAATTTGCGGTGTTACGATCGAAATTTCGTTTTTCGTTGAATTAGAGTCGGCGATGTTTTCGTAAAATTGTAAGCAAATTTTGCATTAGAGCTGAAAATTATTGACTGTAGGTATAACTGAATTAAATTGACGTTTATTTTATCAAACTTATCAACAAACCAATCGAAAGTGATACTAAAACAGAAGTATTAATTTGTTTTTAAAATACATTTTCCTAAAGATATTGATTTTTGAATATATATATAATACAAATAATATTATAAGCTCCTTCTTCATCTTCTTCTTCAAAAAACATATTAAATCATTTTATGAAAGTGTAGGTTTGGGACAACAAAATACTTTTAATACCGGCACTTCACATGGATATATTTGATATTTGTAAACATGACAGCAGTCTCTGCTTTATCACACTTATATAATATTATAAAGGCGAAAGTTTGTGAATGTGTATGTTTTTTAAGGATTCACGTCTAAACGGCTGGAACGATTTTAATAAGATTTGGTATGGAGTTAGCCGACACATAGGCTACGGTTTACTGCGGAAAAATATCCCTAATAAAGCGCGGGTAACACCGCGGGGCACAGCTTGTATTCCATGTAGATGAAACATAACAAGGACTTACTTTTTTATACGAGGAGCAACAAATAACCCCACCCCAAAAATTTTCAATTTTCGCCAAAAATTCCAAAAAAGCTAGACGTGGAGTATTAGGTCGTATAGTAAGTAACTTTTTAAGAATCCTACAGGAAACGGATATTTTCTTACAGGATAATAAGCATTGCATAAATAAATCAAGATAAATATCTATTTGTGTCGGTAGCCAATTTATAAAAAATATCTAAAAATTCAAGTCAAAAACTTTAAAATTAAGCTTTATATGAAAAATATAATACCTTCTCTTGATCTTTCAAGCGTTTGTTTCAAATCTTCGATTTCTCTCCTAGTTTTGACCACTGGTGGACCGGCGGCAGCGGCTGCCAATAGGCAAAACAGGATTACAGCTCGAAACATCTTGAGTAAGACTGTGACCGGCATTAAAGAAAAATAACTGTTTATATAACTATGCAATAGATAAGCCACATTTTGTTGATTTTTGATTAAAAGATAACTACTTAATATATGATAATTATCTTAATCATATTTTTTTTTTCATGTTAAAGATACGGTCACTACCTAGGAATACATTTTTTTTTCTATGCATTATACATATATTTTGAGGCGGAAAGGTTCGGATTGAAGACAGGGTAGGCGGAGCTGTGCCCAGGAGCCCCCACAAGAGAGGGCTCTTCACAACAGAGTGAGAACATAGATAATTAATAGATACACAGAAATTTCATTGTGGCAACACGATGCCTAATATTCAATTTATGGCAACGCAGTTGATAACTCTGGTTTTGGTTTTCAAAACCTCTGCAAGTTAAATGTGGATTACCTATAATGCGAAGACATGGCGCTGCCTTGCAGCTTAAGAATGGCTAGAGGAATTTCGACGCGGTCCGTGAGGGCCGCGGTAGCATAATTGATCAGTGCATTCACCCGGATTGCGAAGGGTGCGGGTTCGAGTCCCGTCTGCTGCCTGGTCCGCGAGGAATTTTTTCTAGTTATTTTTTCTTTAGATTTAAACATCAAGCAGTTACATGCTTTAAAAAATATATAAATTATTACAAATTTATGTTAAGAAACCTAGTTTCTCCAAGCAGACGCTTTTTTATCGTTTGGAGAATACAACCCCGTCTGTGGCAATATTCCCAACTACACATCACTACATCCAAATAACGCGTCATATAATACAGATAATGGTGTCGATTCTGACAGGATTCTTTAAACTTAAAACTAAATTTAACATCAGTCTGTCCTTTTCATTCTGTATAGAGAATGATAAAGATACACTGTTGTCAAATTTAAGTTTAGCTATAGAGAATCTTGCTAGAATCGACATCAATATCATACAGTGAGTGAAAGTGTTGATTATATTTAAATCAATTTATATTTATACACGATTTATATGCTGACGAAATCAATTCAACGCTTTGAGTACCTACTTGTAATAATCAAGATATAAGTAGATAGCTTAAATTGACTTGACTTAATTTATTCGATAAAAAAAAGACAATCGTGTATTAATAATCCATCTCAAATAAGTACATGATAGGAATTTTATTACAAACAAAAACATCCAAAATATTGTGGGCAAGAATTATATTTGTTTTGCATCCTAACATAGCAGAAGTGGGAATGGAAAAGAAGGTAATAGTTATTTATGATATTAGTGCGGTAAGTTGGTTATTACAAAGTACAAACGAGTAGACGAATGTAAGCTCGAGACGAAGTCGAGAATTTACCATAGTCACAAGTTTGTAAATACAAATTCCGCACGAATGCCATAACCTACAACGTTTTTCAACACATTTGCGAGAAACGGTTAGTATACCTAATCTAAATATTGAAGCAAACTAGTCCAATAAGAAAATGGTGCGCATTTCCAAATGGCGCCACGTGCACACTTGAAAACTAGAAGTAGACCTTTCATCCTTTTTAGGGTTCTGTAGCCAAATGGCAAAAAACGGAACCCTTATAGATTCGTCGTGTCTGTCTGTCCGTCCGTATGTCACAGCCACTTTTTTCCAAAACTATAAGATCTATACTGTTAAAACTTGGTAGATGTATTCGGTGAACCGCATCAAGATTTTCACACAAAAATAGAAAAAAAAACAATAAATTTTGGGCGTTCCCCATACTTAAAACTGAAACTCAAAAAATTTTTTTTCTTCAAACCCACGTGTTTCTGTGGTGTGTCTATGGATAGGTCTTCAAAAATTGAGGTTTCTAATATATTTTTTTTCTAAACTGAACAGTTTACGTGAGAGACACATCCGAAGTGGTAAAATGTGCCCCCCCCTGTAACTTCTAAAATAAGAGAATGATAAAACTAAAAAACATATATGATGTACATTACCATGCAAACTTCCACCGAACATTGGTTTGAACGAGATCTACTTAGTAGTTTTTTTTTAAATAATTAATTAATAAAAAAAATACACTGTTATTAAAACATCGATCAAAGTTTCAACGAACTATAAGTCCTTCAATATGTTACTTGCTGCTACAGAACTCTTCATGGGCGAGTCCGACTCGCACTCGACTCGTCGTATGGCCCGTTATTTTGAACTTTCGAGTAATATACACAATCTTCGTAAATGCATATTTTGAACAAATATGTTGAAAACAATATTGTAATCTGTAGTTCTCTACATTAAGGTGTCACCTGATATTAAAATAAAAAAATGGATGCGTGTAACTTATGTACGCGCGTGAGAAGTTATACTTCTTTAGCATCATTAAAAATATTTTTTAATTGCATGCAAATAATTAATAATTACAATAAAATAATAAAAGGACTGGAAAAGGATAGTTAACACAGTCAATTAAGTTCAGTTTTAATTTGAAAAATTAAATAAATATTCAAAATATTCAATTAAAATCACTACTGAATTTAAGTTATTAGTCCATATGTAATTAGCACTTGTAAGTAACTAAAACACGTTGTGTCTATATAAAAACTAGAAACATGTGGATAAATATTATAAATATGAAAACAGTGATCAGAGGCGACGAGCGTGCCAACATTGTTTTTGACAACGCGATCATCTTATGGAGCTCCGTGGATCATTCAAAGTACCTTTCGAACAGATGTCTAATAATGGTGGACTATTAACCACTAAGTGGTTAATAATCCACCATTATTAGACACTAACATTCATAACGCGCCCGCGGCCAACTTCATGGTGTTACTATTGTGTTACAGTGATGCGCGCGCATCTCGAAATTTCACTCACATGATTGTTTCATAACGCGCCCGCGGCCAACTTCATGCTGTTACTTTTGGGTTACAGTGATGCGCGCGCATCTAAAAATTTCACTCTCATCATTTTTTCATAACGCGCCTAAAGAAGTATAACTTCAAAAATAAATGTAACCAATTAAGATTAGCTACCAAATTATGTTCACTCACGACTTGTTTGCTTTCAGTAATATATATATATAAATAAACTTATTAATGAGTTTACAGAGTACTACAGGGCTCCATATTGGGACCTTCACTCTATTCTCCATACTTAGCCAGCATCATGATGTTAAATTGCTCACTGTCGTTGTAGCCTTCGAAAAGCCCGTGCTCGTGCTAAGATTAGGTCACAACTCTTACCTAACCTAACCTACTGACCACAAATACCGATTCATACTTAACGAAATTATGCAAAATATTTTTTTATCAAAGGTAATTTATGCTTAATAAAATTCTGCCATCGTAAAAGTATAGTATTGTGAATTTGGACAAATGATCATTCGGCTAATTAATATTCATACTTAATTAAAAAAATATGCCTTACAAATATTTGTTTAAAGAAGATTATGCCAAGGGTGTTATGCCAAATGAATTTCGGGGCAATAACATTCTGCCAGATAGACGGATTCCAGAATCTAAAGAACGCCTATTTTTTAACATTTCTACTACCATAAAAAAATTCAATGGACGAAACGTCGTTCTGGGCTGTTCCTCACGCTTCCTGGTACTTAAATACATTGTAATTAGACTTTGCATAGGTAGCGGTAAATTTCTTGAACTAACCCACGAAAAATATACTTGTGCAGTAAATGTTTTTGGATGTAAAATAGGGAAGATGCATATATAATATTTATGAAATTTTATGATTAAAATGTTAAAAAAATATAAAAGAAATGCCACTGCAACGTTTTTATTTTACATAATGTTGTTTTTAAACAATTATTACGAATTAAAAATACTTGAAACGGAACGTATTTTAAAACACCAATCAGCGTTTAGTGACGTCACTCCTGTTATGACAACTTGTTTGAGGTTATGGTTGTTAAAGTAAATATTATTTTATGGGAATATTTATTGCGTTTTTTTACATTTAATAAAAATGGATGTTGTCAAAGCAGACTCCAGGAATTTACCAAGAGTGAGCGTTGACATGGTTATAACTTTTATTGTCCAAAGTGCAGAGTTTTTAAGTGTAGAAATGAAAGGGACTAAATTACTACGGTATGTAAAAATCGTAGTTGTTAAACTTCGTATTTTATTCAGCGGCTTCTACAAATCTTACGGCGATAATGCAATCGGCTATGTTCAAATTAAAAGAGACGGAGAATTATGTACAGTAAAAGGTCGAGTTCTCCGGAGCATAAAGTACGTAAAGAAGGTTACAGTTATTTTAAATGAAACGCAAAGCTTGGTTCAGTCCTGCCAATGTGAAGATTGTGCCACACATTTTAAACTTTATCTAATTTTCGACGTCAATCTCCAACTGTAAAATTAAAAATATATTATAGACAGGTTTTGTAAGTATTAGGTAGGTTACTAATGCGTTTTTACGTACAAGCAGATTAATTAAGCATATAACAAGTATATTCGCCGACTTACGTCAAAGTGATCTTCTCAGCATCGAATAATGGTCTTTGGAGAATAATTGTTATTTCTCTTCGCAGCTTGAAACCACTTTTTTTTCAGTTTTGGGTCAGAACTTCCAGTCAAAATCAATTTATTTGGGAACTTTGTTGAAGTAAATTGGCACAAAATATGAGTCAACACGGCTTTTTTATATTTACGGAATATTAGTGGTATTGTTATGATCACATGATGTTGATGGATAATCCATTTTAATTTTTTCAAAAAAATATTTCGAAAGTCGAAAAAATATGCAAAAGTATGAAAATTTAAAGCCAGCAACGAACAATTACGACCAGCGACAGACAGGAGTGACGTCATCGCAACCATAGGTTCATTTTCGCGCGAAAATTTAAATTGTCTGTTTAAAACCGCATTTTTTCCGATAAATCACAATGTTTTAATTTTTTAATATATGTGTGGTTTATTCTACATGGAATTCTTTAAAATGAAAACAAAAATAAAAATATTGCATCTTCCCTATTGCTACCGCGCAGGCTCCTTTGTTTGTGGATTATCACGTAGTGTCGAGCTACAATAAAAAAACCGCAAATCGATATACAGGACTGCCGTTTGGTACACACAGGTATTTTAGGTTAAAACAATATTTTTGAGCAATAATAATAGTTCTTTAAAATATATGACACCTTAACCTCTCGGCTGCCTGTTTTAAAATCCACCCCCTAGGCGGTATTTTTAAGAACTAATATTGTCCTGTCAAATTAAAACACATAAAACATACTTAAACTCTACAGCAGCGCCAACTATCGACTAGAGTTAAGTTTGCTTGAATTTTTTTGTCCAACTGTCTTATTTTGCCGTTCGTTTCTTATAGGTTTTTTTTTCTTGAATCCCCGTTTTGTTACAGCTCTTTATATTCTTTTTTGGTTTTCCATTCTTTTGTTTTCTTTTTGTGCTTGTCTTTTTTTCTCTTATCTCGTAATTCTATTACATATTCTTTCTTATTATAAATACCTACATTTCCATTTCTCTGAGTTCTTAAATTCTTATATCTATTTTACAATCATTTTTCTTGTTTATTTATTTCCTATGAATTTTTACATATTTGCTTCTTTTTATATTTCTTATTTTTACATTTTCATTATACTTATTTCAGAATTGAGGTGCTGTATTAGCTTCATTTACTTATTTCTTTCTATTACATTCTTTACTATTTCTCGACTAAACTCTAGGAATAGTTTCTCTTCTTTCACATTTACCCTGGATCTTGGTCCGAAAAATCTGAAACCTGGCTTGTGGCTTCTTCTCGTCAAACAATCGCCCCACACAGTCCTGAATTGGGGGGTCGTCGTTGAAAATCTTGAGATTTTTGACCTCCAAAGTTCGAAATAACCTTTAAAATACGTTTTTTCCCGGATTTTTATCACTTTTCCACCCAAGTGTGGTACACCAATCTTTTGACACTAGGCACTTGTATATATACTTCAATTATACCGGTACTTTGATTTTTCGTTTACGGAGCTCAGTAAAAACGTGACGCTCGAGTCTAGCGCTACAGGGCAAACTCCTTATAGGGTTGTTACATTATTATAAAATTATAGTGGTGGTTTACATTAATATACTGTACCTATATGTACCTTTTTAACAACCAGGGCACAGGGACCAAGTGTTGAGCCCTGCGAAACTCCCATGTTAACAGAAAAACCCGGAGTTTTTTTTTATTGATGTCAACGCGCTGAACCCTATCCCTCAAATATGAAGAAATAAGACCTTACTTGGTATGTACATTTCCATATCAGTTTCATAAAAAGCGCAATCAAAAGCTTTGGACATTATAAAACAAACCTAGAGCGTTACATGAGTTTCCCATCCGACAAAAAATTCTTTTATGAGCCACTGGTATCGGTCCCTGAGTTACCCCTTGTGAAACCAGTTAACAGTGAAGAATATTACGTTTATAAAAATGTGATAGCATTTGATCAAACATTTAATTTACGCAGTAGACTATTTTATTGCTGCTGTGCAGGTTTCTTTGTCTTTGGTTTGTGTTCAAGATGTGTGTGTAGTAGGGTGTATTTTGTATGTGACATATGTAGTACCTAAATTTATTGCGACCACTTTGTCCAAATTTTATCGCGGTGCGTCTTTGCGATAAAATTCACGACGATGTATGTGGCCATGATACTCACCACCTGTCTGCCCAGTTTCATTTTACAGTTTGACAGGGAACGCGCGGTACCCTTAAGCACGAACCATTATCGAATTCGTAACGTTTGCGAGTCCGAAACGTCATTGTCAAATGTTTACTGATTTTTAGTTCCCTTTACGTATTTTGTGGCGCTGCTGTTCAATTTTCCATACAAAATTTGACATTGACATTTCGCACTCGTAAACTTTTCGAATTCGATAGTGGTTCGTGCTAAGGGTACCGTACCTCTAGCACGAACCATTGAACAGCGGCGTCACAATGGACGTTACAAGACCTAAAAATCAGTACACATTTGACGTATAAAATAAATCGAATTTAACTATTCGAATTCTATTATGGTTCGTGTTCTGTGTATTTGATGTGGCCCCAGTAATAGTCTTTCGCGGTCAGACTTTGGTACAGAAGTGTAATCTTTAAAAAGCTTGGCAAGGAAAATAATATGCTTGTATAAATAATATAAAAGAAAATTTGTTAGTCTATCCACTTTGGTTATTTATTTATCGAATTCGCCAAAGAGAATGTTATTCACATAAAAGTCAGTTTTTATAAAAAAAAAACAAATCCATCTTTTTCTAGTCCCAGGCTCCTTCGCATCCGTAATGCCTGTTGATACGAGTCCAATCCTTTTCGGTGATGAACACTCGTTGTCCCATGGTGCCTTCGTGTTCCTGAAATGGAAATTAAGAATTAAAATTAAAACAATTTATTGCAATTGCGAGGTCCTCATATGATTATGATTAATGCGAGTTACATCAATCATAAACTGTAAGGAACAAAATGTTAAAAAATCTGCTTCTAAGCAAGAGTACCATCGTAAAAGTTTTTAGTTGTCTGTGTATATAAAGTACTAGCGGCCTGCCCTCGCTTCGCTTCGGTGTGGAGCTGAAGTGTAGACTACAGTTTTTGTTCTTAGGCTTGTATTATACACAAGGACATTCATCTACGATTTTTCTTATACCTACCTGCATGCAAAGTCTCAGCCCGATCGGTTTAAAATTGACACAGTTTCATACAAACTTTCATTCCCTATTTTATCCCCTTGGGGGTAGAATTGATCAAAATCCTTTCTTAGCGGATGCCTACGTCATAACATCTACCTGCATGCCAAATTTCAGCCCGATCCGTCTAGTGGTTTGGGCTGTGAGTTGATGGATCACTAAGTCAGTCAGTCACCTTTGAGTTTTATATATATAGATAGACAGATTATCACCGTAAAGAAACTTGTACAGCCAACCCGTAAACGTGTTCCTTAGCCGACTGTAGATGATGTATAATCCTTTTATTAAAAGTTTAATTGCTTGACTGACCTGCAGGGCAACTATGGTTGGTTCACCGTTGACGCTGAATGCAAACGGCCCGTAGTGCAAGCAGCTCACGTAGTCGTACGCTACGCCGAGGTTGTCCACTAGATCAGGACTGTAGATGTCGAAATTGTGCTCGGTTCCTTAAAACAATATTAATTATAAACCTACATTTTCAATCCCAGACAAAACTTATGTCTAATAACGTAAGCATTATTTATAACGACACATTGAAAGGATCATCTCATCGATGAAGAAGTAATAGTAAATCTAGATTAGCTATCTATACTTCATTTTCAGTATTATAGTTTTTTTTTATTACTAAGTAGGTAATAATTGATCTAGCAGAAAAGTTTTATTAAAGAGATGGATATCAGCACGTCATCTGATGATAAGTACTTAGTAGTAATAAGTTTTGCAGCAATACTACAATAATATTTGATTACGGTAATCTTGCCTGAACTCTTCTATAAGATAGAGAATATTTTAGTAGCGCTACGACTACACTATTGCAGATTCCTACTCAGTTTCCGGAAGAATGTAACAATACTAGCTAGGAAATCACCTGGCCTAAGGTTTTCCTGGACAATCTTGACGTAATTATCTCGGTCGTGAGTCGATTGCATGTGGAGGAAGCCGAGGATATGCATCCACTCGTGGACGACGGTGGCGTGACGGAAGCAGCCGACACCAGGCTCGTTGAGTGCCAAGTTGAAGATGTGAGGGCCGCGTTCCTCCCAGTAGCCGACGTGGGCATAGCAGCCACCAGGTCCACCCTGAGATGGACACATTTTTTTGAAATGTAGTTGTATCCGGAGGGACGTATTTGGGCTTATGTTTGAGCTAAGAGATGTGTGGGTGTACGAAGAAATTTACATGAAAGACTTATCACAACTGGAAAACAAATGGATTAATATTACAAGAACGCATAAAACACAAATTTGCGTATCCAAAATCATTGATTATTTATTTCGGTGTGTTGACCATGAAAAAGATGCATAAGAAAATGTGCGATAAACAAAGCTGATATTTTTAAAAAGGGTATCTCGTATTACGAAAAGGAGGAAAATACTGGCTAAAAAATTTTGTAATTTTGTGGTTAAATAGAGTTATAGATTTTTTTTTAAAAATGGTTTGGCTTTGTATCAAAATCTTACGAAAAAGAAAAAGACTCGTAGGAGAATATTGAATGAATGTTATAGAGCGAAAGGGAAGATGGAAAGATAAGAAGATCGGCAAGTGCTTACCAATCAAGTGATAATAATAAATAAAGTGATATAGAAGAATGACCAAAAAAACCACACTATAAAGTTTTATGTACACTATTACAATGAAAAAAGTTTCAAATAAAAAACACTTACAGTCAAGTGTACATACACCTGGTCTTCAGGCTTACGTCTGCGGAATTTCACGCACGTATTCTCCTCTATATCTTTAATACCTGCAAGGATTGCTTCCTCGTGTATAGGTTCTGAAACAAAATATTATTTTCTCTTAATTTACGATTTTAGAAAAACTGGTATCCCTTTAAAATTGTTAATTGTCTGATATGGTACATATACAGTTTTACTTAGATATTATATAACTGTTTTTATATTGCTCTTCCAATAATTTGGCGTGGTTAATGTGGTGTAGCTTTAGTTTATCTATACTTATACTTATAATAAATCTGTAGAGATGTCAATTCTGTACATGAAATATATTTTTAAAATAACTATCAGGGGGTGATTAGTGATCAATACTGATGCCAAAAATGCAATCAGTAAAATTTTTGTCTGTCTGTCTGTCTGTGTGTATGTTCCTTATAGAAACAAAAACTACTCAACGGATTTTAACGAAACTTGGTACAATTATTCTTCATACTCCTGGGCAGGTTATAGTATACTTTTCATCACGCTACAATCAATAGCAGCAGAGTAGTGAAGGGAAATGTTGGGAAAACGGGAGAAGTTACTCCATTTTTTAAGCTTCCGTCGTGGGTGCAGCCTTAATGGTTAAAGTTACATAGAAATCATGTATGACGGAAATATTCAACATAAAATTGTTTAAAAAATATCCCGCAACAGCATATGTCTATCTTTTATGGTTGACTCACAATAACACGTGTAATTATATAAATAAAGTCATTCTTTATAGCACAAGCCTGAGAACAAAAACTATATTTTACACTACAGCTCTACACCGAAGCGTAGCGAGGGCGGGCCACTAGTCTATACATAAATAGCAAACAATAACAACTGAATAATTAAGAAACTTTGATTTTCCAACACATAAATTTTGGATTATCTACAAGGTATTATTTGGATCTTATATCTTTTGTCGGTGAATCCGAAAACCACTCAATTGACCTTGACTCTTGTTTTCACATTTATGATTTTGATGGGATATGTATTATTACCTTTTTATTAGATTTTCTTGAAATTTTTATACAACTGTCTTACTCCTCTTATAGGGTTGTAATATTATTATATTTTTTTATACTGTACCTATATGTACCTTTTTAGCAACCACGGCACAGGGACCAAATGTTGAGGCCTGAGAAACTCCCATGTTAACAGATAAACCCGAAGTTTTTTTTTATTGATGTCAACGCTCACACGTTTCACATTTATGTTTTTGATGGTATATGTATTATAACCTTAGTGTGCCTTAGTCTCTCTCTTTTTCACACTATTAATAAAAAGATTAAATATGTGCTATCCCATTCAGTTTTAGATTAAAAGAATCTGTCCTATTGCCTTTTAAACTACGCAATAAGCAAAAAGGTAATAGGAAAAAGCTCCGTCAAGTTAGACAAGCCTGGACTTGAATCATTGCTGTTCTTCAGTAACCCCTTAACTATTTTTTATCACTGATATTTTGTAATTTGTTAGTAATTCTTTGTTTATGCATATAGTACGTAATCAGTGATTAATTGCAGGTCTGCTGTTTGAAATCAGCGCTAATATACTATTTTATTACTTAGATTAGGACATCATAATTACTTACTGATTATTTGATTAGGTAGGTAAACGTATTAGCATGACGCTGTTTGTTCATACTAATTTCGATTTATAAGCAAACGCGATTGTAAAATCAAATCGAAGCGCAACTCACACTTGGGGTACTGTTTGGTACAAAATTTCCGTGTAATTTAAGTTTTAGTTATTATTATTTTTTGGAATTTGTGCCAAATAAACATTTTATTATTATTTTAGAGTATTTTGTTTGTTTCATTGTTTTAATGGTAACCTTTACTAACACTAAGAAGAAACAGCAAAACATACCGAATTCTCCTTCTCCGAATTCCCATACAACAGTGTTGTTCGGCCACCTGGAGTTAGGGAAGGTGTAAGCGTTTCTGCCGGCCGCGAACTCCCTGATCATGCCCTCGATCATGAAGTCATCCAAGACGATGTCGCCCTGGTACTTGCCGCTGTTCTCCTCGGCGTTGGCGAGCGGCGCGGTGCGGGTACGAGCGAGGAACTGTGCACCATCGTCTGCGGCGAAATCGATGACATTAATATTGTAAGATGTTTTGAGATGAAAATAAAAACAGAGCCGAATTTAAGGCACGGCAAGAGGGATGCAAACCAGGGGGGTGCGAATCGTAAGTGGCCTCCACAACCTGGCAGGGCCCTTTCTAAAAATTATCCTAGGTCGTTGTGTCATTAGGTGGTTTTATTGCGCATTCTGCCGTCCATTAAACGCTCATGCAGCCGTCCATCAATTTCATCAGTCATAAATGACAAAATATGGACAGCGACTAAAAATACGACGGCCAAATGCACCACGCAATTACCTGCGTCGCGTGGGTTTGTTCGCAGCAAACCAATGCGGCGTTGGTCATTGTCGTGGATATAATAAATTTTTTCTCCCCGTCATCAAAAAAATAAAAAAAAGGTCGGCGGCGATGACCTCCTGAGACTTTAAAGGTAGTAAGTGCACATACATATAAAGAACTTCGTCTGATTTTTTGGTCACAGTTTTCGAAAATACTGTACCTCTGAGGCCAAAGCACGAACATTGGCAGATCCGTAATCGTATCGTCATCGTCAAATTGTCTATGAAAGGAGATAGTTTATTCCTACGTCCGATAGGTGTACTCCTTACTTATCATCGAAACTTTGACGATGCGATACTTTTACGGAGATGTCAAAGCTCGTGTTTCATAATTATCAGGACGCATGAGCAATTTGATTAGAACCCACAGAAATATCTGCTTACCAGTCCTAGTGCTCTCCAAAAAATGTCTGAAAGCTTCGATCTCCTCCCTTGACCTCACCACCGAAGGGCCGGTTAAAGCTAACCCCACAACACTACAGATCAAAACGATACGCAACATTTTTCCTCACTAATACAAGGGAAAAAAAGCCGCCCTTGCTTTTATTTAAAGTTTATCTGTATACCGATACTCAATTTGTATTTACGCAATCAATTGTTTTTATCTGATTAATTAGAGGGACTTAACTGATAAGATAATAAAAATATTTTGAACAGGTACTGTTAGCACCATGAATCCATGGCAGGCGAAAGGCATTTTGGTTTTATCATACCCTTTAATTAATGCTTCGTTATAAGTCGCTGCGATCGCAGAATTGTAGCCAACGACATGGTTTCGACTGTACCTACTTAGAGCACTGCCACACACTCGACGAGTAGTGTGGGAAGTAGCGAGGAAAGGAGCGAGGAAAGGAGCCAGAGACGTAGTGTGGCAACAATACTCATCATGCCGCATGTCATGCTCCTCGTCATGCCCACAGCTCCCTATTTTGTGGGTTTTTGAAGTGAAAGTTCTTTACGCACGCTTGACTTGGGGGGTAAGCTGGCGAATGCGTTACGCGTTACGAAAAGTGTTTTCGAGTGAGGCGAACGGGAGTTGAGTGGGGGATATAAGTAAAAGAAAGCAGTGCGCGCGCACATTTTCTTTCTCTCTTTCTCTATAGCTAGTAAATGAAATATGTATATGTACATACATGTATATATTGTACACACACATATATACCTAGTCAGGGCATAAATTCTGACACATGTTTAATATAAAATAATTGAAAGAAGTTTATTCATTATGTAACCATTTATATACCAAAATTAACTTAACGAAACATAGATTTTTATGACAATAAAGTTTATTCAAAATGAACTCCGTGATTTTGAATACTGGCCTCCAATCTGCGCGGCGAGTCGTCTATCGCAGCACGAACGAGGTCCATGTCAATATCAGCGGCTGCCTTAATCAAGGATGTCTTGAGTGACTCCAAACTGGGGTAAGGCTTTGAGCACGCCTTTTCCTCCAAGTGTTGCCATATCTTGTAATCTAACGGACTGAAATCTGGACTGGAGGAGAGCCAGTCTTCGTGCCGGATGAAGTCGATTTCACGCGCTGCCAGCCAGTCTTGTGTGCTCTTCGCTCTATGAGCTGGCGCTGAATCTTGTTGGAATACCCAGTGCCTGTTATTGAACATGGTATGAGAAACAGGTTCCACAAGGTTCGTCAGGACTGTATTTTGATACACAACTACATTCGTTTTTACACCTTTCTCACAAAAATGTACCTCTGTCAAGCCCCAATAAGAAACTCCCAACCCTACCATGAGCGAGGATGGAAAATGACCTCGTTGGACACGCGGAATACGGTTGCTCGCTTAGATATGTTTTTCCCGCGTACCGCTGCAACAAAGCGCGGCATCTCTTCAGTCTCAGGTCCATTAGACGAGCATTCAAACGATGTCCTGTTTTTCTTCGATATGCCCAAAGCCCTAAGTCTTCATTTAACACCCTTTTCACCGTGTTTCTGCTTAACCCCATCTGAAGGGCCAACATTTTCTGCTTACGTTTGGGATTTCTTTGAATTCGCGCCTTCACAGCTTTTATCACTGCTAGAGTCCTAACAGACCGAGGGCAACCACTTCTTGACCTGTCATCTACACTAGACTCTTCATTGAATCGTTTGATGGTACGATAAACGAATCTTTTGGTTAAATTAATTTATTAGAGACCTCCGTGGCCGAGTGGTTTGTACGTCGGGTTTCATGGTGTCGCCGACTCGAGAGGTCCCGGGTTCGAATCCCGGTGGGGGCAGATGTTTGTGTGATGAATACGAGCATTTGTACTCCAGTCATGAATATTTAATATGTATTTCTATTTAGATATACTTATATATGTACAGTATATGTAATCTATCCGGTACCCTAGCATCCCATAACATAAGCCTTACAGTGCTTACATTGAGGCTAGGCTAATTGGTGTGAGTGTTGGAAATATTTAATTTAATTTATTTAATATTCTTCAGTATGTCAAAAATTTGGCGCGTAACCGCAACAATGCAACGCAATAACTGCAACACGGTCTTTTTTAAGCGTCCACTCCATATTTAAAAATGAATAAAATTCTAAAAAGTATACATTTTTATTTTCATGAACACTTCGAAATTCGAATTCAATAAACTTTTTTGTGGCCAGCATTCTAAAAGAAAAGTTTTTACTGTGTGACAATACTTATGACCTGACTGTGTATATATACAGATGGAGCTAAAGAAGTTTCACTTCAGTCGTGTGGTCATGAGCACACCCGTTTTTTTTGTATGACATTGATATAATTGGCTATGCATGCCACAGACCATCGTATAGAAAAGACAATAACCAAGACTGCAGCTTCGAAATCACGTGTAAGCAGAGAAGGCAACATCGCAGCAGCGCGAGGAGCAAAACGATGAGCAGTGTGGAGCATAGTGTGGCGGGGCTATTAGGTTTTCGTCATTAATTACTCACCTAGATTTAAAAGATAACTTCACCTTGTGTTCAATTGAAACTTCGAAACGCTTTGTCATTATATTTTTTTCAATTAACAACCTAATCAGTAATGAAAATAGTGATAGTGGTAAGGTATTTACTGTTGATATTTCATATTGGTACTTAAACATAGATGTTTTGAAACAGTTTTACCTATTATTTATCAGACGAGTAAGTCAGGAATCTATTTGTTAGATCTTAGTAAGTACTTGTATTACGTATACCACCATTTTTACCATTAGCTTTCGGCCAACTGTTTAAAAAAATATTTTCAGAACATACCAAATTTGGACTTCTCCAGGTAGGAGACGGACTGGTATTTTATTGTAAAACATACGCCAAATGTCTCTTAACATACTTATCTCAAACCCCAAAAAGATATTTAAAAAAATGACATTTACATTCTTTTTCTTCATATAAAAAGTTTGAGATTCAGAATTTAACTTTTAATTTTATTTCTATAGTTTGATTTTTTCTTCAGAAACCTATCTTGTGCGGTATCAAATAAAAGAGCTTAATTAGCCAGTTCCAAAAGTAAACTACACCATTACCTTTCGGCCACCTGTTTTAAAATCCATCCCTTAGAGATTTTTCAAAACCATCGCTCAAAAATATTGTTCTAATCTGTGTGATGTACTTACTGTACCTGTGTGATGATTGACGAACGTTGAACTTAATGCAGGGTAAATTTATAGTGGTTATTTTCAAAAAAAGTTAAAGAACAATATAAAAATAGCAAAAAAATATATCTACGGAATCTTACACTGCGCGTGGCACGAAGACACGCACTTGGCCGGTTTTTATTGGATAGGGTATACCCTATCGCGGTACACCTCAAATTTGATCCTTGATAAATTGGGAAACAAAAATCCTATCCTAAGAGTGGGGAAATAGGGCTGAATGTTCACTCATACATTTTGATGCCGTGTGTCATTTATCATTCATACAAACCACGTCGATAGTATTCAATATAAATTATTCAAGCTGTAATCATGTCGCTTACAACTGAAGAATGTACTAGAATTCTCACAATTCTGGAAACCAGCTGGAGTCAGCACGATACAGCCAGGACTGTGTGTCGCTGTCAACAGTACAAAGAGTTCCCGACATTACGAGGAAACTGGCTTCAAACCTACGCAGACCAGGAACAGGCAAAACCAGGTGTACCACAGCACGAGAAGATCGATACTTGATGAACACCATGCTTCGAAATCGCTTTCTCAGTGGAACTGAAATTACAAATCAGTTTCGATGCCTCGGAGGAAGTAACCTAGCTTCAAACCACTTAGACCTGCAAACGGCTCTAAACTGGTGCGTGGGCATCGTATTTCAAGACTAAGTTGGACTATTGATTATTGGTCAAAAGTTATGTTCTCCGATGAATCAAAATTTATGCTCTACAAGCACGATGGAAGGCACATAGTATATAGAAGACCTGGGAAAAGATTCAAGCAAGCATGCATCGAAGAAAAAGTAGGTGGTACTACAGCGGTGGTGGGTCTGTACTTGTATGGGCCGGAATTTCTTCTGAGAGTCGCACAGAACTGGTGTTCATAGAAAATGGCTCTTTATCTAGCGAAAGAAGAAGAAATCTTGAATGAACACGTTGGTCCATTTATGGTCAATTTGTATGAGGATGCTATTTTTATGCATGACAATGGCCGACCTCATACAGGTTGGATAGTGAATGGCTATCTTCAAGACACGAACATTACTCGTATGGAGTGGCCAGCACGCAGCCCGGATATCAACTCGATCGAGCATGCTTGGCACGAGCTAGGGAGATGCGTAAAACAACGAAACCCTCCCCCAATTACGCTTCGTTAGCTCAAAATTGCTCTCACAGAAGAATGGGAGAATATTCCCCAAAATCGTATAAGAAAATTGGTGTACAGCATGCCAAACCGGGTAAACGTAGTAATGGAAGCACGAGAAGGCAATACAAAGTATTAAAATTCAAGAAAATAGTAATTTTATTCCAAAAAGTGTCAAATTTCCTATCAGCCAGTTTTTTTCTTTATGTATTTCTTAGTAAATAAAATGTGGTGACTCATAAATTTTATTACTTTCATTTAAGGAGTATTTATTTTTTTATTAAACACAAATTATTTAATATTTGTTTCTTAGGTTTTCACGCACATCACTCATTAAATAAAACTAGTTTTTACGAAACGTCAATAAATAAATAAAGTTTCATGCGTTAACCCGTAAAAACTAGTTTTACAATTTATTTCTTTAAGCTAGCTTTCTTAGTTTGCGAGATTTTTAGGATTCTTTATGTGACCCGGATTCATTGCTCTTGAGTGTAGTGTTTTTTATATTGTCCGCGGAGAACGGGTCAAGGAGCAGTGTATATTTTGATTAAACGATTATAATAACGGACCTCGAACACAAATGAATATTTTAACACATAACACAATTCATTTATAAAAATATAATATATGTAAGAAAAAACTATGACGCATTTGCAAAAAAATGTCAAACCCTTTAACTTTAACAAGAGATTAAAGAAGTCTCCAAAAACCAAGAGGTTCGTTTCTGAGTTGTAGTATTGCACTGTTTAATAAAATTACTCGAGATCTGATTGAGCTTCCTCTGACCAAATTTAAATCTCAGATCAAGAATACTCTTATGGGTAAGGGCTATTATAGTGTTGATGATTATCATAATGATATAGTGCTTTTTTTTATTTTTCTTTCCGACAAACGACCCCACCCCACCTGATGTTAACTGATGTTAAGAATGTTAAGTGAATTTATAATGAAATGGGTGTTAGTCGTTTTTCATAACAGTAACGTAGTATCTAATGCCGCCTCCTATACACTAACCCCCTTATTAATAAACGACGAATAAGCTTGGATAAGTTACTCCATGTTTTGTCTCTGTTCATCTAATGACAAATGACATTTGAGGGATATGAACAAAACACGGCGTAACTAGTCTAAGCTTCATCATCAGCCTATTAATGTCCCCACTGCTGGGGCACAGGCCTTCCCTATGGATGGAATAAGGAGATTGGGCCATGACCCACCACGCGGGCCCAGTGCGGATTAGTGGGTGCTAACGACTGCAGATGCAGCCGGGACCAACGGCTTAACGTGCCTTCCGAAGCACGGAGTAGCTCGAGATAGTAATTTTTGGTCACCCATCCAATGACCGACCACTGCGAAAGTTGCTTAAGTTCAACGATCGCAGCCAAACGCGCTAACCACCTGCGCCATCGAGCTCCTCTAGTCTAAGCTTATTCCTCGTTTATTAATAAAGGGGTAAAAATGTAAAGTTAACTATAAAACTTATTGTAACTATATATTTATATTCTAAAAAACGTAACGGAAGGTGACCACAAAGGTATCTTTGAAGTCATTTTTCAAATTGACGACACTGTTTATAATAATATAGGGAGAAAAAACAGCTGAGTTTCTTGTCGGTTCTTCTCAGTACAAGGTCTCCCGCCGTAGTTTTGCGAACGCAGACTGAATAAATGATTATTGAGTTTGATTTTATCAACAAGTAAAGCACCGACTCAAAATATTAATTTGACTGTAGATAAAAAAGGTTTACTATTTCCTTTCCTTAATTGATTATAAAAAGTTTTTTAAATTAAAATAACACTAGCAAACCAGTGAACCAAATGTTCACCAAAACCTGATTTAAAAAAAAATGTATTTAATTAATTGAGAACTTCGGAGATTTTGTGTGGTTTCGTTTGAAATTCGTGATTTCTCGAAAACCGGAAGTGCTACGTTACTCAAATCCGGTTTGTAGTCTTATCAGACTATTCTTAACCTATAACTTAAATATTCTCTTTATCTATCTCTTACGGTTTGGCCGCTGAAACAGCACCACAGACAGACGGACGGACTTGTCTAATAGATAAGAGATTGTTGGTTTAAAGTGGTCAAAACGCTGTTTCAGAGGTGTCGGTTCTGGTATGATTCTCTAAGTGTCGCCGCACACGGGCCACACGCCACAACGACAAACGCCGCCACGAGAAGCTAGAAGCGGCTACTTATGTGGCTAAAGCGCGCGACAGCGGCAGACTAAGGTAAGAGAGAGAGGGGTGGGGAATCGCGCGAGTGACGTGTGTCGGCCGGTGCGGGCCACAAGAAGCGAGCAACGACGATTTGTAGCGTGTGGCGGCCACCGGCGTACCGTGTGTGGCGAGTCCATATAAAATGTATGACTAACTACAAGAAATTTGCCCGTGGCGGCGTTTTGTGGTTGTGGTCGGTGGCCCGTGTGCGGCGACACTAAACTTAAAACTAAATTTATCATCAGTCTCTCGTTTTCATTCTGTATGGAGTATAACAAGGATACACTGTTGTCTAGTTTAGGTTTAAAGAATCATGCCAGAATCGACACCATTATCTTTAATAGAGGTTTTAAAGCACTGGTGTAGATAGTTTATTAATAAGTGTCAAAGAAAACAATCAAATGAAAATTATTACAAATTGTATTTATTTTTTTGCTTTATATATAGAAAAAAAAAATATTTTCATAACTCTACAAAATAAAGAATATTATATCACTATAATACTTATTTATAGATTATAACAAAAGTAAAAATTATAAAATATTGGACGCTATACCATTCTTACGTTCCTTGTAATTTTTAATATAAAAACTATTCGGACCCTCGCAGACACACCTCTGTGGCGCCACACTCATACTCTACTTTACTGAATACAAAAATAAACTTATAGCTAACATCTTAACTTATCAGTTCAGTAAAGAGTTTACACAACTATTCAATAGATGCCGTAACAACATACATAAACAAAGTATCCAATTCAGTAGGTACACCATCACTCTGATTAACCTACCTTTAGTATCTTGCTCTCAAAGTTTATTGAAAAAAATGTAGATAAAAAAATATCAAATTTAGTTTTAGCTTATATATAAACAACAGACTTTCAAAAATGTTTATGACAAACACAAATACGAAGAGCGAAGGAATTTTATGTAAACTTTTTTGAGAGCTGTTCCAATAATTTTAGAGAAAAGGAGACAGGACTGCAATTACTCAAAACTATTTTCAGAGTGACTACCTATTCCCAATCGGACCCAAGAACATTATCAGCGAATGTTGGGAAAAATAAAATAAAATCTCATACATTGTAAAGTCAATCAACTTTTCTATCATGTTGTCTCTAAAAAGTTGGATAGGTGTTAAATATATTTATTATCTTTACAAAGTTTCATCAACAGTTTTTACTAGTACTATTTTGCTTTTTTACATTCCAGGTTACCAAAATAAATTATGAGTAAGTACTGTTAAATTATTATCTATGAATGATCAAAGAAACAACATGTTTACATTTCATTGTATAATAATTATTAATGATACTATTTACAAAAAGAAAAGTCGATAAAACCTACCATTGGCACTTTACATTTAAAAAAAGTATAATAAATGTCATAAATGTCTTACTCAAAATGAGTTTCCTACTTTAAAACTAAAATCAAGTACTTGTGCCCTTAAAATTAAACCGGCCTGTTTTTTTTCTATAATCACCCAGTTATTTGAATTTGGAGAAAACGATTTGATAGGCACCTTACAAATAAGAAATGCACCTACTACATTTTAGACCGCTAAAACCATAGAGGTATAAGAATAGAGTAGGGGAGATATAGACTCTACTACAAGTGGAAGTGTGCCTCTAATAGAAAGAGAAAGAAGATGAGAGACCGCTAGCTTTCTCTCTCTAATCACGCATTCGCATTGGCAACTGTAAGCATCTTACTATTTCGATGTGATGCTTGGACCAACAATTGGACAGGCGACTGCGCATGCGTCACAAGAGAGAGAGATAGCTAGCGGTCCCTCATCTTCTTTCTCTTTCTACTAGACTGACACTTTCAGAGCCGCCTTCCCCACTCTTTTCTTATACCTCTATGGCTAAAACTGAAGTCGCTTTTACAATGAATGTACTTAATTTAATTGGCACCGAAGCCAAGTCCAAACGTTCGACGTTAAGGCATTGTTCAATTAACTCTAAAGCAATCCGCTAATCTACTTATTTAACTAAAAACTACATTCAAATGAGAATATTCTTCTGTAAATTATTTATTGCAACAAAGTAAATATACCTGCTTATAGCAACTCCTTATTTCTTACAGCGGCAGTGAATGACTGGTTCCTAGAGTTGAATTAAATCAGCTCTTCAAAAAATAATTGTGCCATAACGTAGCATAAAGTTTCCTTATACAGAAAAAAAACAAAATCTATTTTGACCTCTTTTTTATGTATACAACCAGCGTTGCATTTCTATTCTATTTAAGTCTGAAGAATGAACGGTATAAAATAATTTATTTAAATAGGTCACACTTATATTGCCCCTTTAACCCTTAGGGTATTTTTTTTTTTGACAAAATATTATGGCTTTATGCTAAGTATTGCACAAAAAATAAAAGAAAAAAAAAACAGAATCTATGGAATAAAACGGACGAAGCCTATTTTTTTTATTCAAAAATTATTTTATCCAAATATTAAACCTGGCAACCCGATAGTTTAACTGTCGGATCACCACGAAAGCAATTAGACAATAAACGTTTATATTACACTAAATATTTATAATACACATAACTAAATCGAAATGGCAATGATTACAATTCAACCCACCTTTAAAGTGGGTTTGCATTAATTAATTATATTATTAAGTAACTAATTACACGTAATTACAATAAATAATAATATGTCAACGTCTTTCATAAATTGAAATAAAAAAAATACAAATTGTTGAAAATTCAAATCCTAGATGCATATTGCATTAAAAGTATTATTCAGTAACAGTCAAAGACACATCAGTTTAACCAGAAGATTTTGAACCTTAAAATCTTTTTAATAAGATTCAAAGTAGCTGGAGTGAAAATAATTATTGTTATTTGATCGGTTATTCTGAATCACCAATATAAATTCTTCAATATCGAATAAATAAATTGATGGTTCCTTTATGGCTGACGACAGTAAGTTATGATCACGGAATAAAGTTAAACTAGAAAATTTAATAACGTCGATGTTATTTTCATTTGTGCTTAAATTACATGTAATAGTAGTGACTGGGTCTTGTTACACGATTTTTAATATACTAAGAAAATATTTTTATGATTTGTTTTATGCAAGATTAAATCTGCTCCTGCCACAATAGAACCTACTTTAGATATTTTAGAATTCTTTAAAGGCATGCAATGTAGGCATATTTATTAATATTACATTTTTATCAATAGTACCTACCTATCTACCTACCTCGTATGGGGCAAAAGCGTATGTCATAAGCGATTTCCGTTTATCAAATTTTCCATTTATGACAAATCTACAATCATTAATAAATTGTTCCCTTGGCCTAAGTAATTTAAATTACTGCATAAAAGCCTAGTGTCAATGCACATATTTATATATCACCATATAGAATAACATACATAAATTTGTAACTACATAAAAATCTATACGACCGGGCTTGTAGGCGTTGTCCGATTTTACTAAAAAAGGGGATTCCTTATATGATGCCACGAAAAACTAACTCAATTGAGGTTGGCGTGAAGTACTATGTATGGTTTTGTAATACCCTAGTTTAGACTAGATTGCGTCCGATGGAAAAGAGTAGTAGTACTACACGTTAACTTCGAGTTGGCCGTTGAAGATCGTTACAAATTTTGGCACAGGCACATCAACTGGTACCGTCAACCAGTGTTGCCAGGTCAGAGTTTTAAAAATCGGGAGGTGTTATAGAAAACAGCAGTAGATGTATGGAAAGAGCTACAAGAAAACCAGTAGATGCAGGAGGCGTACTTTTTATATCTTATAAATCAAGATATAGGCCAGTAACATTGATGTTTCTGTGGCTTCAGCCGCACCTCGAAACTCGTTTTTTTTAGACAATAACATTTATTTTATAATAATTAAGCTTACCTACATTATTAATAACGGAAAATGCAACTCAACATGCAATTTAAAAAAGAAAATCCTATTCTAAGAATAACAGTACAACGGAGAAATTTCAGAAAAACAGGAGATCTCCTGTAAAGGCGGGAAACCTGGCAACACTGCCGTCGACTAATAGGGTAGGTAGGAGAGGCAAATTGAAGCGAACGCGTAGTATACTTATGTTGTTTTAAATCAAGCAAAACCTGAAATTTAACGTATTTATAATAAGAAATATCTCGGTAAAAAAAACAAAAAAAATTGCATATGAATATGCTTTAGTGAAGTGAAATGATAGATGTATAGTGAATTTACAAAATCTTTGCAACGCATCTTTTCTACCTATAGCCCTCAAGTACGTGTAATAAGAAATTATTTATAATTAAAGATAATCAAGGAGATTAAAGCAGCATTGATCTTATATAGATAGATTCACAAGTCATTGAAGTACTTACAAATTGAATAAATATATTATAGTGAAACTAATCTGACCCCTGTATTTAAAATTCTAATAAATTAAAGTTACAGATATCGTAAAAAAGGAAAAATTGTTCATAATAAATAAATGCATTTTTAAAAACTCATTGATTCTACTTTCGTAATCAAAATGAACGATCTTCGAAATAAAAAAAAATCTTCTTATAAAAAAACGCACAAAAATAAATTGCATACATTCTGAAGAGAATTCGTAAAAAAATATATTTATGCAAGTATCATTTTCTATTGCACTTTAATATTACAATTTCCTCATTTTCATCTGTGGTGAGTATTAAAATTATACAATAATATTCACAATATTGATAGTGATATGTATACTCTGGAACTTATATACACACAAAGTCCTGTACGTATTTTTTTTAAAGTTATGATTATGATAAACACTGTTATGAAAATAAATAAATTGTTCAACTTTATGCTTGAAGCAATAAAGTCGAAATTCCTTAATCATAAGTCGTCGTAGAAAACTAGAATTTCAAAACTCTTGAGCAAAGCGATTGAGGGAGTCAATGGTGGAAATGTTCACACCTGATCATCCGTATGGTCAGTGGTCGCCTCGAAGCAGTTCCATGAGCAGGTTGAAGCTGGGGCCGTCGCCATCTTTATTCTTGTTCGCTGGGTTCAGCATTTCTTTGCCTACTTGCATAAAAAACTGAAACAAAATGATTTTTTTAACTTAGTTTGATATAGTTATATAAACTTCCATATTATAAGTTAATTTTGCAAGATGAATAGATGAAATAGATCTATGCATCTTGGTAACAAGTACTAGTTGCTGATGCGACTTTGCCTACACCTAGTCCACGATGCATCAGTTCTGAAAATATTCCTTTTTGTGTATTGGGTATAGCACGGAGATAAAAAGGCGTGGTCTACCCTAGTAACTTTTGCTACATCACTATTTTTGGTGAATTTTCAGACATTATATGTTATGGTAGTTGTTTAACTACATAAAGTTTAGTGTGTGACCAATTTCTCATAAAAATCTTAGTTTGTAAGGTTGCGCCATCTATTTATAAAGTAGGTAAACTTTCGGCGGAGTTAATTTTTTTTTCTAGCAAAAAACTTCTTTAGGTTCTCATATTAGACAGTACAATGCTTAACTACAAACATAACAATACTTTTTTTTGTAATTTTCAGCTCCGGTATCCACAGCAGCAGCTGAGCAGTGCAGAGTGTGTCGCCGCTATCTTCAACTCTCGGAGCTCGGGAGTATCTGATAGAATCACTATTCATATATCTACCGGGCAAGGTCATTGCAGCTCCGGTATTTCGAACTTTCACCGACTCTTGGACCTCGAGAGTATCTTATAGGAATAAAAATTATTCATCTATCTACCTGGCAACTCCGCTGCAGCTCCGGGATCCGTGCGTCGCCGTGTACGCCTGCGGCGCCGCCAGAGCCTTCTCCTGCGACGCCTGCATATTATCTGACTCTCGGAGCTCAGGAGAATCTGATAGAATCACTATTCATCTATCTACCTGGCAAGTCCGCTGCATCTCCGGTATCCGCAGCAACAGCTCCCCGAACATGGCTTGCGAGTGCGTCGCCGCTTTGTTCAACTCTCGGAGCTCGGGAGAATCTGATAGAATCACTATTCATCTCTCTACCTGGCAGGTCCGCTGCGTCTCCGGTATCCGCCGTAACAGATCCCCGAACATGGCGGGCGAGTGCGTCGCCGCTTTGTTCAACTCTCGGAGCTCGGGAGTATCTGATAGAATCACTATTCATCTATCTACCTGGCAAATCCGCTGCATCTCCGGTATCTGCAGCAACAGCTCCCCGAACATGGCGGGCGAGTGCCTCGCCGCTTTTTTCCAATCTCGGAGCTCCGGAATATCTGATAGAATCACTATTCATCTATCTACCTGGCAAGTCCGCTGCAGCTCCGGTATCAGCAGCAGCAACTCCCCGAACTTGGCGGGCGTATCGGGAGAGTGTCTCGCCGTGTACACCTACAGCGCCGCCAGGGCCTTCTCCTGCGACGCCTGCACATTCTCTGACTCTCGGAGCTTGGGAGTATCAGATAGAATCACTATTCATCTATCTACCTGGTAAGTCCGCTGCAGCTCTGGGATCCGCAGCAGCAGCTCCCCGAACTTAGCGGGCGTGTCGGGCGAGTGTGTCGCCGTGTACGCCTGCAGCGCCGCCAGAGCCTTCTCCTGCGACGCCTGCACAATCTGTGACTCTCGGAGCTCGGGCGTATTTGATAGAATCACTATTCACCTATCTACCTGGCAAGTCCTCTGCAGCTCCGATATCCGCAGCAACAGCTCCCCGAACATGGCGGGCGAGTGCGTCGCCGCTTTCTTCAACTCTCGGAGCTCCGGAGTATCTGATAGAATCACTATTCATCTATCTATCTACCTGGCAAGTCCGCTGCATCTCCGGTATCCGCAGCAACAGCTCCCCGAACATGGCGGGCGAGAGCGTCGCCGCTTTCTTCAACTCTCGGAGCTCGGGCGTATTTGATAGAATCACTATTCATCTATCTACCTGGCAAGTCCTCTGCAGCTCCGGGATCCGCAGCAGCAGCTCCCCAAATTTGGCAGGCGTGTCGGGCGAGTGCGTCGCCGTGTACGCTTGCAGCGCCGCCAGAGCCTTCTCTTGCGACGCTCGCACTTTCTCAGACTCTCGGAGCTCGGGAGTATCTGATAGGAAATAAAACTTTAGTCATTTTGGACTTCTTAAATATATTAATTTTGAGGTTTATATTCACAGAAGCTGGAAGTATTTATTTTGCGATCGCGGAAATTAAACAACTTTCGCAATTTGAATGTTTTAAAGGATGAATGACAAAAATATTATGAATTCAATCTTCCCCGTAATTCGGAAGGCACTTCAGTCAATGTGGTGGGTCATGACCACATTTTCTTATTTCATCCGTAGGAAAAGCCTGTGTCGCTTTTTAAATTTAAAACACTTTCAGAATTTTAATAGTCTATCACAATAGGATTTCCCAATTATGTATTGTGGAAGAGACGTAAGAGAAAGAACAACAAAATCAGAAATGAAACCCTACATAACAAGTACCTGATGTAAGTAGAACGATGACTTTCAATGCGACATATTCGTATCGATCAACTCGTAGTCTTCTCAAATGATCGGTGAAGCTCAACATTCGTTCGATACAAGGCGTCAAACCCAATCTGGAACAATTATATAAATTTAGATAAAGTACAGTCTAAAATGAAGTGAAAAGTTGGATTAGAGAAATGAGAGAATATTCTGAGTAAATGAGGAATTCATATAGAATTAAGAACTTTAACTAACTTTGAGGAACAAGAAAGAGACAAACCACAAAATAAAACATAAATTGTACATAAAATAAACATAGTAGATATACTCGCAGTAGGGTACTGGGACTAGAAATCACGCGCGATATTGTGCCCTAAGTGTAAGGACATAAGTTATACAAAATTAGCGCTCTGGTCGTGGGTGATGCCCTGTTGTATCCGCAAGCGATAATATGCCCTAAATATATACTAACATAAGGTATACGATCTTGGCGTTCTTATCGAACGTGATGTTTTGCTGTATCTGCAGGCGATAATGTGCCCTAAGTATTATGGGACAAGGTATACAAATTTGGCGCTCTGCACCGCCGACGCCGACGCCGACGCGCACCTTGCCTCGTAGCAGTATGCGATAATGTATCCTAAGCAAAAACTCAAACTTGGCGCTCTGGTCTAGCGTGGCGCCCCGCTGCATCTACACGCGATAATGTTACCTTATTATAAGAACATAAGGTATACAAAGTTGACGTTTTGGTCGAGCTGGTGCCCTGCGGCATCGGCGCACGATAATGAGCCTTAAATGTGCGTATAGCCACCAACCTATTGACGCTTGCCATATCAAATATATCCCATTGTCTACCTTGACCCAATCCCTTACCATGCGGAGCCCTGAAACTTTACTCACCGACAGGAACACAACACCACCAAGAGGTAGTGTTATTTTACTGTGATCATCTGAAGGGTGGAGGTTACTCCCCATACGGGCGCTATAATTCGAGAGGAAAGTCCACTATACCCTACCTCGCTAAGTATAAGATAAATAAATATGTAAAGTTGGCGCACCTCGGCATGCTGACGCCGCGGTAGCAGTGGATCCAGTGCGTTTTCTCGACGTCGAAGTTTTATCGTGACACTAATGGGACTAGAAATCGGGCGCGCGATAATGGTCCATAAGTATAAGGATATAGGGTATACAAACTTGGCGCTCTGGTCGAGGGTGATCCCGCGGCCGCCGCCGACGCGCACCTCGCCTGGCGTGCTGACGCCGCGGTAACAGCACGACAGCACCAGCAGCTCGCACCAGCTGTTGATCAGCAGGCAGATCTGGTCGTCGATCTGCCGAACAAAAGGATTTGAAGTAAAATCATATTTAAAACTAAAGAAAAGTTTTACTAAAAAAAAAAGATTCAAACGTCTAGCAGTTAAATGCTTAAAAAAAACATAACTAAAATCATATTGTTCACAGAAATAGATGGTGAAACAGGGAAACCTACATGTGGCGTTCACTAACGTCTTCCCACCTCTTCTTTAAAAGAGATATGCCGGCAAGGTGAGGATGGTTGGTGTAGCAGTTTATAACTGCTGTACCAGCTATCTTCGCGTTTGGACTTTATCACCACTTAACATCAGGGGGCCAATCGCCTAACTGGATTGCTTAGGAAAACGCTATCGCTTACGATTTCATTTTGTTATTTCTAGCCGCCTGAGGTTTTCAAATGCCTCGCGCTCTTTTTTTTTCTTTTGCATTGGTAATAACAATGTTAAAGAAAATGAGCGTGAGGTATTTGAAAACCTTCGGCGGTTAGAAATAACAAAAAGAAATCGTAAGCGATAGCGTTTTCCAAAGCAATCTGGTTAGGTGATTGGCCCACAGGTGTGGTAGTGTCATTTGCCTACATCGTAATAAAAAAAAGCATTTCTGCAGGCCAACAAGGTGATGGTGTGGCTGTTTATAACTGATGCACCAGCTATCTTCGTGTCTGGACTTTACCACAACTTACATCAGGAGGGGTAGAGTCGTTTGCCTACCTAGCTATAAAAAAGGCCCTGCAAGCGTTCCTGGCGGAGCTGGGCTGGCTGGATTGGCTCCAGCGTCACAACCTTTACACGCAAAACAGGCGTTGAGTTGCGAAAAGTCCGTCTCAAAGAAGAAGAAGAGATTTAGATCGCTTGTCATATAATCGCTTACAAAAGACTCTTGTGCATTACAGAAGTAGAAACGGTCACGACAACTATTCCGGCCAGTAACAGAAAAGCTTAGTTTGCGTCGGTACTAGCATTTTCCGTCTTCCCGTCTTTAGAATAAGACAAACACAAGCTTTCCTGCCCAAAGTTTTACCCGCGTTACAATTTCAACCCATTCGTCCTTTTCAACCGCGGAGGAAATTAAGTTATTCCATAACCAAAATCAACAGAAATATCTTTAAAAATATAACCCTAAAGATCAGGTGTGACAGCGGAGTGAGAAAAAAACACTACAACTTTACCATATTTTGGTCTATGTTAATATTTTATTATTCTTTTACTCTGCACAAACTTACCGAAATATTTTTAAACAGCGGAAGACTTTTACACCACTTGACTATCTTGTACAAGCGGTGGTCGGCGATATTGCACAAGTCTGCCAAGAAGTCTGGACTCGAGTTCTGCGCCGTTATACCGCTGGCTGCCAACAGAGGATTGGCTGAGGGGCTGCCAGGGGACTTGCCCAGTCGGTTCAGTTCCGATTCATTGTACTGCCATAGGTGTTCCACTTCCATTATCTCCTATGGAAAAAAACGATTATTTAAAAAACTGATTGTTTTTTAAAGAGGTGGGATCAACAACTGTGGATCCTGAAGTAACATTTTTTATTGCCTTCGATAGCAGACAAGCAGACTAGCGGTAAGTGGTCACCGTCGACATTTAAAATTATATCGTCTATTTTATTCTTCTAGTTATGAATTACCTGCAATAATGGGGGTATGTCAGGCGTTAATCGGCTGTTACTCGACTCTCCTCGACTGTTATATGACCCGGGGCCATTTACCTGTAAAAACAAACACAAAAGTTGTAATATTATGTTCTCAATTAGAAACGCCAAATATTAAAAAATTTAATAGTGTAAAGCTAGAAATGTGATAGTTATATTCTGGAGAAGTGTAACTACTATTTGTGAAAAATCATTAAAGTAGCAAAGTTTTACTATAGTAAGTACGAGTACTGGTGTAGATAGCGGCAAACTTCTTAAGCAAAACCACAGACTAAATAAACTTGATCAGTAGACGTTTTTGTATGTAAAATTGCTACTGCTCAGGCTTCCTTCTCGATGGTCATTGCTCAAGAAGTTTCCCGATGTGTATACGGGCAGTCACATACCAGCCCTGGTATAGTCTTCGTGCCTGTGTGCCTGCGTGTTTACCTGCCTGTGTGTATGTGTGTGTGAGAGAGTGTGTGTGTGTGTGTGTCTGTGCGTATACTGACACAAGTGAGACTGGAGGCGTGCCGCAGTGTGGTGGGCACATGCGCGGATAACAAGGAGCCGGTGGACGCGGCACCTGACAGCGAGTACGAGCACTGGTATGTGGACCGTCCGCCTCTAGTTCTGTCCTCGCGTATCGCTGTAACAATAGAAAGTTAATTAATTTTCGCTCTACTAAAAGTTAACAACTACTTAGAAGGGCAAATTTTTTACCTAATTTATCAATGTACACAATAAACTGTAATTATTTCATTCATTAATGAACTGTTAACCAAATTAACTTTAGACTTGGATCCACATCGACCTTACTATTTTACACAGTATCCGCTTCCGGACCTTTGATGTACTACTAATACCGACGGCTCGTGTACAAACGAAATTCTTATATTTTTTCTGAAGAGAAACTTAAATATCACCAAATTTAATCCTCCTACAATGTAAATAATTTACGTAGATTTATATAATTCCTTTAACGTACCTTCAAGTTTCATCCCACACCCTAGACATTTATCAAATCGGCAAGCAGGGCATTTCTTTCTTGTTGCCACAGTGACGGGGCAGTTCCCGCCTCGTAGGCACATGTAGTTCTTTCTGTTCTGCACTGTCCGCTTGAAGAAACCTTTGCATGATTCGCACGAGAATATACCGTAGTGGAACCCACTGATCTTGTCACCGCATATTGGACAGGGACTATAATAAACAACGAATATAAACTTTAATTGCGGGCAATAAGGTAACATAAACAGTGAAAATTAATTTCGTTACGATCCTCTGTAATTGTACAATTGCTCCCATTGTGGAGTTAATTAGTCCAGATGGTTAGAGTATTTGGTCTGCGATCGTGGAAGTAAAGTATTTTGACGTGACAACGTCTTATAATGCAAGTTAAGCCGTTAGTTCCGGCTGCATTTGCAGTCGTTATTAGCACTCAGTAGTCCGCACTGAGCGTGCGTGGTGGGTCATAGCCCAATCTCCCTATTCCATCCATAGAGAGCAGCAACGGGTGCACTTAGAGGACACTGATAAACAAGCTGAGGTGGTCTGCCATAATAATTGCACAGTCTCACCCTTCAGGGGTGGGGGATGTCCCAGTAGTTCCAGGCATCTCTCGATCGCAAGGAAGATAATGAAGCACTGTTAGGTTTTGGTGGGTAGGGCCATAGTCACCCTTCCACTGCCACGAACTGACTGAGCGGGATTTGGGGGTAAAAGGAGTCCCATACAATCCTCGTCTCTCATCCAATGGCGGGGTATTCGGCATACATTTTCTCGCTTCGATCAACAATACTATAGATAACAGATCAGCGCGTAAAATCAGTCTCGGTAAATATAGCCACACTTGAGGCGTGAGTTCTTATTTTCAATTAGTTCGGTTAATACACAGCCAATGGGTAGGTCGGTAAAAGTTCGTATTTAGGATATAACATTTCATTATTTTTAACTTTATTTGTTTGTGACATGGTTATTGTTAGGTTCAACTTATCTATTTTAAAACATTTGCCTTTGTTCATTGGGAATCGAATGCAGCTGCAAAAGTATATACTCTCGCGGACAGCTTAAAGCTTTAATTTTTTATGCAACCCTTTATCTATAGAATTTTTGATCGAAGTTTTCTCGTCATTAATATAATGGTGGGTATAGTAGCAAGAGCGTCGCCAGCTTATGACTAAGGGGGGCGAGGGGGCAATGGGGCAATATAATAGGTAAGGAAAGCAATTGCTCGCTCTGTGGTCGCTTTGCGGCTAGCTACATTTGATCTCTAGGACCTTGCCCCCCTTGGCGACGCCCTTGTATAGTAGGTACTTATTGACGTGTTGCTGCCGGCTAATGCCCTGGTGGTGGTGGAGGCGGTCGTCCGCTTCTGTGTGGTCATCATGCGCCGACGACATGGGGAATACACTCGGTCCATTTTCTATGTATATGGTTGCGTTTATACTGGTTGCCATGGTTACCTGTTGATGAGTTGCAGCTGACTTATCCCATGTTGGTGGTGAAGGCGGTCGTCCGCTTCTGTGTCGTCATCATGCGCCGGCGACATGGGGAATACACTCAGTCCATTCTCTATGTGTATGTTTGCGTTGATACTAGTTGCCATGGTTACCTGTTGATGAGTTTCTGCCGACTTATCCCCTGGTGGTGGTGTAGGCAGTCGGCCGCTTCTGTGTCGTCATCGTACGCCAGCGACGCGGAAACACACTCAGTCTATTTTCTATATGAATGGTTGATACTGGTTGCCATGGTTACCTGTTGATGAGTTGCTGCCGGCTAATCCCCTGATGGTGGTGTAGGCGGTCATCTGCTTCAGTGTCGTCATCGTGCGCCGGCGACGCGGGGTAAACGCTCGCCGCCTCACGATAAACTACGGGTGGATGCCGACCCTAAAACAAAATGTTTACTACATTATAAAAGCTGGACGGCGCAGCTGGTCAGCGCGTTCGGTTTACGGTCATTGGATGGGTGACCAACAATTTTATCATCTCGAGCTACCTGCTCTCCCTTCTGCAGCTGCAGTCGTTAGGACCCGTTCATACTGGGCCCGCGCGGCAGGTTTAGAACGCGTATATGTCCACAGGTAAGACCTTTGCTCCAGCAGTGGGGACGTTAATAGCTTAAGGTTTGAAAACATTATAAAATAAAAGACATTTAACAACGTGATTATCTATCTTTAAAACATCTTCCGTCTTCTGTAAGTGGAAATTCTATTTCTATTTGAGAAAAAATCTAAAAAGTATTAATGCAGTAGTTTAGGCAAAAAGGAGTTGGAAAATGTTAGTTTCAGTTCCTATAATAACACAATGAATTTTAAAATTCAATCAAAGTAATTTTTTTAATCTGTTATAAAACACGATGAAATAGTAGACGTAGTAGCCGCTACATTATTACGTCACATCGCTAGTATATGCCAATGTGTCAGCTGTCAACTTAGTACTTTTAAAGTTTTCGTAACATAGGTAACGCATTTATTTACAGTACTAATGGCGTCAAGACCCCAGAGCAATATGGCGTCCACTGCGTACAGCTTTTTCGTTAAACTAGGCGTTAACTTTGGGCACTTAACGATAGAACAAAAAATTTATGTTTTTTTAGTGGCATATTAATTAGCACTTCAGAATTTAATTGAGACACTTTTTAAAAATAGTCGTAATACCCTATTAAGTTCCTTAAATACTAAAACTCTAGTTTTCTGGGAGGATATCGGTGGTACGAAAGTCGCAGCGCAATAAACGAAATCTAAGTCACTGAATCACTGAACTGAAAGCTGATAAAAAGAACATGATACGCTCGCTGCTAACTTCACAACCATAAAGTTTGAATCTCACTTTACCTGTACTGGCGAATGCGTCGGCGAGAACTCGGAGCTGTAGGAATAGCAGGACGAGTGGGACGCGTCGCTGTTGTTCCGGGACAAGGACGGCGTGTAGTGCCGTGACGCCCGGGGACTAGCCGACGGACTGCTGTATACACTGGAAAGAAATAAAAATTCCAATCTCTGGTTTGCTTTATGTTGACGATATTAATAAAGTTCCTCAATATAACCCTGTAACGGTTTAAAAAAAAGCAGCAGGCGTTCACGAGCATGAAATCGTATTTAAGGGAACGACGCGCTTCACACGGCTCTGTTGTGTGCATTTATGATATTTATGATTAGACTAAATAATGAATGATCATTTATATTTTTATTGTTTCATCATCATCATCATCATCATCACTTTATATAGATCAATTTACCTCTGCGTATATATGGAATGGACGGCGGAGCCGGTACTGGCGCTGGAATGCACGCGCTGCAAGCGGCCTGCAGCGGCGACTCGTGCAGTGCGTCCAGTAGCTTGTCCATGCACACTGACGGCTCGTACTTGAGCATTTTATATTGATCAATGTACCTGTGCATATACATGGAATGGACGGCGGAGTCGGTGCTAGCGCTGGACTGCACGCGCGGCAAGCGGCCCAGAAGCGGCGACCCGTGCAGCGCGCCCAGTAGCTTGTCCATGCCCACTGACGGCTCGTACTTGAGCATTTTATATTGATCAATGTACCTGTGCGTATACATGGAATGGACGGCGGAGTCGGTGCTAGCGCTGGACTGCACGCGCGGCAATCGGCCCAGAAGCGGCGACCCGTGCAGCGCGCCCAGTAGCTTGTCCATGCCCACTGACGGCTCACACTTGAGCTCTGTGACAAAGAGACGACGTTATTAAACCTAGCCATGATAATATTTATTATCCTGCTTAATCCGACCCCATAATGTTTTGTGCTATATTTAAAAGTAAACACTTTTATTAACTTGAGTCGTAAAATAATGGGCCTGACCTTTAATGAATGATGGTGATCATGGCGCTTGCAACAGTGCCGAAATATCGGGGACTCGCAAAAAAACAAGGTACATGGTAGCAATGCTGCTAATAAAAAAATATAATAGTGTCCTTTGCTTATTGAAGCAGCGCCATCTATAGCAATCACACTATTTATATATAGAAAGTCATTTAGTGTCTGAGATTAAACACAGATGGCGTGAGTTTATTGCGAAGATAACTAATGCTTGCTTTCTGATGAAAACATTTCGCTGCCAACAAGTTCATCTCACATTGCCTTCTTGAATCCAAAGCCGTAACCTATAAGGCTCTGATCATCTAACTCTTTAAGTCTACAGGTACAACAAGGTAGAATGATGATTAAGGGTTGTTAGTAATGAATTCCAACAAAAATCCGTTGGGCCATACGTCTCTTAAAAAGTATTTGTTAATCGTGACAAAATGGCTTTAATTACAAATAATACTTAGTTTTTACTGGTACAGTAAAGAAAGAAAGAAAAAGGTTTTATTAACCCCAATTTCATATACACAATAAATCGTTAAAAAGAAGGAATATAGAATAAGATTAATATCTTTATATATATAATACTTCTGTGAGTGTGTATGTCACTGAACTTCTCTTAAACGACTGGACCGATTTTGATGAAATTTTTTGTGTGTGTTCAAGGGGATCTGAGAATGGTTTAGATTCACAATTTTGTCCGCTGGACAACCCCTATTTTTTTAGGGCGGTACGAAGTTCGCTGGGTCAGCTAGTATATATATATAAGGGTTAACCAGAACCCTGTCTCAGCATGAGCTAGTGCGACGATGCTTGCATCAGCGCTGATGTTCTGACAGGACCTGAAAGGAGTGATGGCAGAACTACTGTGCATTGACCCATCAGATTGCAATCCACCCCCATACATTTAGTATGATTAAAGTCAGAACGGTATCGACATATCGCCATAAAGATCAATCATGTCGCTAACCGGATCACACAAAAAATATCTCCGACAGGCCTTAATAGGGCCAAATACATTAATTCATTCCTTAATAGAGCTTAATGTATTAAGGAATTAGTATGATTTCTATTTTAAACCTACCTGATAACTGAGTTTCTTTCTTGATCGTCAAATTTTGAACTTCTCCTAGTGCCGTTTGAGGCATGATGGGAACTGAAGTCTGATCGGAAAGAACCAGGGATTTGGCACTGCTTGTGGGAGAGGACGGCCGCCGTGCGAGCGAGAGGGATGTGTTGTCTAGAACTGATATCTGAAACAAAAAATCATCGATTTCAAATTACAAGGCCGAAAATGTTAGTTGCAGAAAATGTGTGTTGATCGACGCCTGGTAGGCTATCACAAATGGTAAAATTCTGTTATTATTTAAACTTTAAATCAATCTTTAGTTTCTTATAAATTTGCTATTAGCTTGCAGTATTTTCAAGGAACAGGACACAGTGGAATTCCCAACATGTAGAGCCTGTACCTCATTTAATTAACACTGTAAACTAATTGTAAAATAAACTTAAGAGATAAGAAATTAGCAGATCATTACATAAATAAAAATACTCAAGTATAATGTTTGATAGATAGATATAAAATCATTTCATTTGACACTGGTAGCTGCAGGATGTGAAGAGATGGCGCCTGGTGGTGGTCGACGTTAAACTAGAAGACAGCATAGATGTTAGTGCATAGGGTCTAGCTGAAATTATTCTTTAGCTATAAAAATCCAATAAAACTGACATTAACTTACCCTATTCATACTGAGACTCCTCTGATGTGATTGTAGCGGCGCAGAGTACTTCAGGTCCAGCACCCGCTGGTCATCAAGGCTTTGGAATGCTTCATTCTTGACTGGCTCCGTTTTGATGGTGACATTCCGAAGGGTATCGATGGAATCCCTAGATGACTGCAGGTCTAATGAGCTGCTGTTCTCATCTAGAAAGAAAAGAACGTCTTGTCATCAGGAGCCTTATAAGTTTCCCACTACTGAAACCCTATAGATGAAATCGCATTGAAGGGCTTTACACCTTGTTCAATAATGTGCGCTATTCTTACATTTATATAGTAATCAACATAGTACTTAGTTAAAAAAGCGGCCAAGTGCGAGTCGGACTCGCCCATGAAGCGTTCCGTAGCAGCAAGTAACATAATATAAAACCTGCCCCCGCGCTCTGCACCCTCTACCGATCAAGCCACGCCCCGCGCGTATTATAATAATTATTTACTTAGGCACCTATTACAGATTTACTATTAGAAAATAATGGTTCACGATTTATGCATAACGTTTATGTGTATGTATTTAAATGTGTTTTTTTTATATTTGAGTTGATTGAATGAAAGGTAAATAGCAGTTTACGATTTATGACGTATTAAAAAAAATACTAACTAGATCTCGTAAAAGGCAAAAATCCATCAAATCACAATATATCCTCCATAAAAATTAGCACTAAAAAGGCTAATCCTGTGTTCAACAATCACGCAATATCAAAGGTGAAATTAGAAAATGCAAGCTTTCGTGCCGCGAATACGATCACACAATTAATCATTCAGTTTGGGCCTTAACATTAAAAACATAATGCAAAATTGAGGCCATATTCATTTTAATATATCGACGATTATCAATAACCAATGCCATTCATGACCTGCCACTGGAGGTAAACACAATCCGCCTCCTAGAACGAAATATTATTTTGTAGTACACACATATGTACGTCATCCATCCACATCACACATCGCCCGGAAGAGATAAAAACTTTGTTATTGAGATAAGTTTATGATTGAAGCGTTCAATATCTCGTATCTCGCCTTCCTACTCTACGCTAAATCTGTATCCTAAACGATTACTACACAATAGAAAAGTACAAATGCTTCTTAGGAACCATATATAGCTCAATTTTTTTTTCAACTATTAAAATTTTGCTGTTTTTAAAAAGCCTTTTAGCAAATTTCATTGCAATGCAGTTTTTTTCATATTGACTGAATCATACAAGGTTAAGGAACCACTAGTTTTACTAGAGTCAGACATAATCATAATGAACCATACTATTCATATTATTATATAACAATTAGTTTTCTACATTAACTTGAATGAGAACCTCAAGACCTCAGAAAAGTTCTTTCTTTACGTTCCAGCAGTAAAATAAACGGTCAATGGTTGCAAGTTTTCACACCTCTTGAGTCGGAGAGTTCTCCCTTCTTTGCAATCATAATGTAGTCTCCGGATTGGGTTTTGCTTGCAAGTAAGTAAGTACCTATACAAGCAAATTTCTTAGCGAAACTTCATTAAATTCAATGTATACAAGTTTCCATACCATTGTTCACGCTCGTGTCTATCACCATCTCGGAGTCGGACAGCTCTCCCTCCCAGGACATGGGTCGCTCGCGGTCGTTGGGCTGCGTCTCATACTGCGCACCACTTGACGGCCGCTTTTTCTTATTCCGCATGTTCACCTGAAAGAAAAAAAAATATAACAACTATTCAACTGTTTTGATCACACTGCAGCAAAAAGTTTACTAAAAGGAAAGGTAACTGAATTTTTGAACCTACTATTTATTTATATCCTACAGTCAAGATGCTACTGACATGTATGACATAATCGTATTACGAAAGTCCCTTCAAATAAAGAGAAAAACTCGCGCACGAAGGGTTCCGGTACTATTAGATATCTATACAACATTATACACTATATTATAATATCGAGCAAAAATGGCAAAATATCACGTCTGTTGTATGGGAGCTCATATATTTATTTTATTTCAATTGTTTATTTTTAAAGTGAATAAATAACTAAATATGTTTAAGTAATACCTGCCGTTATTTATATAGAGCCCAAAAATTTTTTTTTAGTATTTCATGTCATAGCGGTAACAATACCTACATCCTCTGTAAAAAATTCAACTCTCTAGCTATCACGGTTCATGAGATACAGCCTGGTGAACTACAGCCGTTGCGTGTCCGAAACATCCCGCATGCACTGTCTACTAAAGTCTGCATAGTATTGAATATTTCCGAGACGAATTAAATCATTGATATGCAGCAGAAAAGTGTAGGAGATAAGACGGAACCCTAAAGCACGCCGGAATCCACTGACATGTACCGAGAATGCCGAGAATTTGAAGAGAAGGGTTTTGTGCCTGTCGTAACCTTTTTTATCAAATCCGGAGTATGTAGTTTTGTTGTGCACATTCAGTTCATTTTAATGCCATCTGCGAAAAAATCCTCCCTACAAAAAACTTGGAACTAGAGATACTAAAGGCAAACGGTATAATTATAGTAATGTTTAGGGATTTTAGTCCTGGAAAATTGGTTGGCAATTTTAATCAATGTTGAAATACGGGACACAGTTTGTCGCGTTGAGTCGTTTAAAATTATGCCTGAAATACAGGACATCCCGGGAAATACGGGACGTCTGGCAACGCTACTATCGACAGACTTTTAATAGTTTATCCCTTTGCGTGCAAGTCCGGCACGCTTCGTAGCCAGTACCCTTAGTACGAGTTCTACAATTACGAAAACTATGATAGTTTTCGTGAGCTCGCACTCGTACTAAGGGTACTGATTTTATTGTTTTCGTTACAATACAAATAAACAGTGTTTAAATTCTATCATCATTTCATTTGCGTCTTCTTAAATTTTAAGTATATTTGATTAGTTTTCACCAAAATGAACATAGAAACATAATTTACAATTACGAAAACTATGATAGTTTTCGTGAGCTCAAACTCGTACTAAGGGTACAGTTTCTTAAATACCTTTTTAATCTTATTCTATAGCAAAAGTGTAAGTCAAACCTCATTTTGATGTTGTGTGAAGTCTATCTTGGAGATTTCGGCGTCTGTGGAGTCCTCATCGTGTGGATCGGAAGACACACTGATGCGGACCCCGCTCGAACTATACGAGAATTGAACTGCAAAAGAAACATCATAGTATTATCTTTTAATTGATACCTTATCATCCATTATCTTGACATTCATCATCATCAGCCTATTAATGTCCCCATTGCAGGGGCACAGGCCTTCCCTATGGATGGAATACGAAGATTGGGTCATTGCCCACCACGAGGGCACATGCGGATTGGTGGGTGATAACGACTGCAGATGCAGCCGGGACCAACGGCTTAACGTGCCATTAGTAGACCAAAATTTCTGGGGCACAGAAACTTCTTAAGTACCTAATGAAAGAAACAGGGGACATACAGATAATATCATATCCGATAACAACTGCACTTTCATTCGGGATCAAAAGCTTAACGTGCCCAATGAAGCACGAAGGAGCTTTAAAAAAATGGGTGCGTGTACTTATGTAGGCGCGTGAGAAGTTATCCTTCTTTGGCATCGTTTAAAATTAGTTTTTAATTGCATGCAAATAATTAATTACAATAAATTAATAAAAAGTCTGGAAAAGGACACAGTCAATAAAGTTCAGTTTTAATTTGAAAAAATAAATAAATAATCAAAATATTCAATAAAAATCGCTACTGAATATAATTTATTAGAACATATGTGATTTGCACTTGTATGAAACTCAAACACGTATTCCGAATATACAAACTAGAAACATGTGGATAAATATTATAAATATGAATATCTATAACTGTTACTTTATTACAAAAAATAAAAATGTGGTTTTTGGTTCTACTACACCAATGGTCAAGAGATGGCGCTGTAGTCTCCTGAATCGCGCTTTGGTTCCGTTGTTCCAGATTAATAAATACTTTTGATAGGCCTTCACAATGCAGTCGTTAGCACCCACTAAATAGAGATTCTATTTCTATTTTGTTGGTAGATTTTCTTAACGTGCGGTAAACACAAAAGTAACAGCATGAAGTTGGTCGCTTTAGCGAAAATTTTGTGTTACAGTGATGCGCGCGCATCTTAAAATTTCACTCTCATAATTTTTTCATAACGCGCCTAAAGAAGTATAACTTCAATAAATTTTTATTCATTAATCCACTAAACGCTCATAGAAATATCCGTTGCGATAATAGCAACGCTGACCACTTCAGCATCACACAACTTTTAAGCATAGATACGCTTAATTACTTGAACGAAAATAGGTCAATCAAACAGTTTGATCGAATAGATATTCGAAAATTCATATTTCTTCATGCCAATTTTATTGGCAACTCATTTTCATCAAATTTTCCAACACATATTTATGCTAATTTGATCACTAGCTTGTTTGATACTTCAACTTCTATGGCGTGGGGAAGACATCCCTAGTTTTATTCCACGTGACCAGTAAATTCCTATTTTTTTAACCTTGAATATAGTAACATAAATCCACGCTATACTGTAATCGTTTGGCAGAACATCAAAGGAGCTAAAAGAGATAAATAACTACTTATAACACATAAAGGTACTTTGACTCTCACATAAATCTTACTCCTTCAAACAAAGGTAAATTTACCTTAAATTGAATCTAAATAGTTGTCATAGGATAATGGCGATAGTTGCCATGTCAATGACAGCCCCTATCGCTTACTTACAATTTCCGAAATTACTAAATCTCTAACCAACTGCGTCGCAAAGTTAGCAGAGAGCCCATATTATGACTTTTTTTTCATTGATAGTCCATCAAAAATTATCTTTGAAACTTGTACGCCGTTTTTACTCAACGCGTCAAGGTAGATAAAACAAAATTTAATAAACATTCAGCTAAGGGAGGCAAGGCATAGCGGAGTTCCCGCTCCAATTGGAGTCCCCGCCTGGGGAAGTAACCTCCACATTACTGATGACCACAGTAAAATAACATTTCCTTTTGGTGGTGTTGTGTTTCGGTGAGTAAGGTTCAGAGCCCAACGGAGTAGGGGATTGGGCTAGGGTAGGCAATGCCGCGCCGTGACGCGAGTGATATTTTTGATATCGCAAGCGTCTGCACTTTAGGGTATGGTCTATGGTGGCCGCTTACCAAGGCGGGCCATACGCTCGTTTGTCACCCATTTTAACATAAAATAATAATAATAAACATTTAGTTTATTGCCGAGCTGCAATGGCTTTGTGGACTTTAAACTTAAGCTTTAAATATAAAGTACTCATATTCACTCAAATCGCAATATAAAAACGTTGGATCGTTAAATTATTTGTGATTTCAAAGTTCGATTAAGGGTAAATATAATCAATTGTTAATCGGATAGTGGCCTTTGTGGTCTTTGAAATTAAGCTTTTGATTTTATTATTCATATTAAAAAAAATACAATTCACAATAAAAACACGTACCTAGTGCTAATATCAATGTTTGTTTTTATAAATAGCTGTAGTTATTTCTTAAGGTTATCCGCGATTAGATATTTCGTATAATAACAACAGTCTATGGGGAAAATATATTTTTGAACCATATCTGAACCACTATGAAAATATTTTAAAACCTTTTTTATTTAGTAATCACGATTGACCATTGCTCAAAATCCTTATCAGAACGTTTGGAAGTTAAAAAGTTACGCCTACCTCGCATAGATCATAACGAAAATATTTAGGCATTTTCAGAGAAAAGGTCACAATGTTAACCTCAATTTATTTAAAAAACTATGTAAGTAATATTATAATGTCAATCTTATTAAGACAACTAAGGAATCCTTCTGGTTCTTCCCTAAAAATGAGATGAGGATGGAATATTTCCGTTCAGAGTGCAATGATACTTTGATACTATGGCGCCAGGTCAACGGCCTCGCGTTATCACCATGGCATTTTTTATACCTTCCGCTATATGAGACGAAAGAATTTACCTACTAAAGTAAAACCCAGAAATAACACATTACACAAGTTTCAAAAACAAAAGATATTTTTGTAAGCCAAAAATACCTTAATAAGTAAATTATTATAAGAAAATATAACTAGAAAAAATTCCACGCGGACCAGACAGCAGACGGGACTCGAACCCGCACCCTTCGCAATCCGGGCGAATGCACTGACCAATTATGCTACCATTTGCTTGCTTACCATTTTACTGACATTGTGGGTTACCTACAATGCGAAGAAATGGCGCTGCCTTGCAGCTTAAGAATGGCTAGAGGAATTTCGACGCGGCCGTTGGTTCGAGTCCCGTCTGCTGCTTGGTCCGCGTGGAATTTTTTCTAGTTATATTTTCTTTAGATTTAAACATCAAGCATTTACATGCATTAAAAAAATAAAATAATAAGTAAATTATTGTCTCTTTTTTGATATGCAACTAATTATTGGAGTATCATCATCATTTAAATTCAATGCCTACTTCATTTGTATTTTTTACATACAAAACTTAATAATTTCAGAACCGTATGAATAACTAAGTTAACCTTGCTATAGGTAGACCGCTTAACTGACCTGAAACTCGCCTGCGGGGTAAAAAGGGTGTGGGGGAGGACGAGAATGAGGGGGGGGGGCACATTCTTGTCAAAATTACAAGCGCCCGCCGCCCGCACCTCTCACGGCCCTAGTTCTCGTCCTCCCAAACACCCTTTACCCCGCAAGCGAGGACTCAGTTAAGCGGTCTACTTATAGTAGATTAGATATTTGACTGGGAGTGGTAGAGATACCAAACATCTGACACTTACCGTTGTTGGGCTCCGGTCCCGGCATGCTGATAGTGGTGACAGAAACGTGAACCCCTTCCACTTTTACTGGATCACCCTCGCTCGACATCGCGCTCATCACCACCACATCACAAACTATCGATATCTTATCGATGCATACACAACACCACACTACTAAAGCACCATTCACATTTGTCTAATAAAAAAGCTTCCAAAAATACCGTTCTACTATTATTTTATAATAATTATTATTATTTTATATCACTAAGTTTCTCATCATCATCTTGCGTCGCTGCTCATTTTTAAGGCATGTGGAGAAGTCAGTCTTGCTGTGTGGATCCTGGATTTACACATTTTTGCTTTCGTGCATGTGTACAAAGGTAGTGTGTTTCCTATAGCAAAATGCCAATAGTCATTACTGCCCGATGATAGCGGGATCATCTTGGTTAATCTGTAACAAAACAACACAATATGTTATTGAGTGATAGATAAGTGAGTAAGTAAGAACATGAAGTCAGTGCTGTTTATTATTGAGGTAAAAATAACTATCAAACCTAATAAAGAACTGCAAAATGTTGGCAGGCAGATCTTAACTTCTCATGTGAGAATGACAAAAAAGTCCGGTACCCGACTAAACTAAAGCGTGACTCACAAAAAAATAAAAGTCTAAAAGTGAATAAAAAGTCAGCCCGGCAACTTCTCACGCGATTCAATTTTGAATGAATGTCGTTTGGAAACCGTTTGTGTACAGTACACGCACCGAACGACGCGTCTCGCCGCGGCCTTGCGAGTGAGAATAGTGTTGCGCGATAGCGCGCGTTATTATTATCGATACGAGCGACCGTGTCATTGGCTTTATGTTTACAGGCGGGGCGCCGCGAGGGCGAAGCTCGGAGATAACGTTAGTACTGCGTCAGAAATCGATGCTCATTGAATGAATCGTCGTTTTCAGAGTTCACTTGAAATGCCAAACTTATTTTTATTATTAGAACATTCTGAATTTTATTAAGAAAATTGTTATGCTCCTTTGTATTCAATAACGCAAACTTACGCAGGTGTAATAAACCTAACGTTACGCTGGTGTGAGTTTGCGTTGGAATCGGATGTACTTATACAAATATTTTTATCGATAAGTTTAAGCTTAATCGCTAGCGCAGTAGAAGAGAAGGGGGGAGGTTCGCGGCCTTCACAGAGCCGGTTGTTGCGGCGGCCGACCGCGAGCATTTCGCCTTTCGCGCAGTACTGGCCGCTCCCAATACTTTAAGCGACCTGCAGTTAAATTTTAACCACGAATTTTTATTTAAGTAGACACAACAAGACGTATTGCTAAATTTTTATCATAGTGTAGAATTTATTGAATGTTAATGTATTTTTAATGTGGAGTCTTTATTTAACTCTACCTTTTGTTTTGAATTTTTCCTTCACAGTAATTATTCTAATAGATATTTTAGTTATGATATCGTATCCACAATTCTTAATTAATTAGTTCAGTACTCGTTAGTTTGTTTCGATGAAGCTGTCATGTCATCGGACAAAAGCTCCTAAACAATAAAAGATAAAAACAAAAAAAACGTATCCGTAAATATAAATAAAGTTGCTAAAAAAAACACTTTTCAATAAAGGTCTAATTCTCTATTATGTTAACATATAATCTATTACGAGCATTACAGTACCGTTGCTGAACCAATAAAAGTACACACTAGTAGACAGACCAAATCGTCTGGCAGACCAATTAGCATCCAATATTGCGCCATTGCTTAAAGCAGGCAGGCACTGAGATATCGTTATCAAACGATTGCAGTTATATCAGAAACGACACATATTGATCACAATATTCAATGAAATTTTTCTATTACATCTCGGTTTATAAAATAATTGATAAAATAGAATTAATTTAGCAACATACAAATAGCTTCTAAGTTTTTTTAAAAAACGCCATCGACGTAGGTAATCCTTCATCAAACGTCTCTGCGTTTATAGCATTCTATAATTAAATATAGCAAAGAACGAAAAAAATATTATCTATTTCTTTCTTTTCGGCTTGGAGCGGCCGTGTACGAGCGAGATAAATATAAATTCGGTGTCCTAATAAAAGGAGTTCATCCGCACGCAAGATGGCGTCATCGTGGCCTAGACAAGGCCGAGCGGTCATTTGTACGATACGCCAGACGAGAGTATTGTCTGAATCCATCCACATAAGGAATATATTCTTGAACTTCTTTTTGTGTTTTTTCGTTATCGATTATAAAAGTATATTATTTTAAATATATTTGTTTACGAAATCGGATATCATATGTCATTGTGTGACTCTTATCATTATGTTACAAACTCCTAACGTAGGTATTAAAATATTTGTTATGCTTTAATGATGATATTAATTTTATCAGACTATTTTCAGACATCTCATTCATTCATAATGATTTCTGTATAAAACAACAACGAAATAATGTAATATCACCCACGTCATATCATTAATTAACGTAACGGAATATAAAAACACAACATTCCAGCCAGATATACATCAGTGTAATCATTATAAAATAATATGATATCGTTTTATAAAGACCAAAGGAGTGATTTCTTTTTCTATTACATATGTTTAGAACAAAATAAGTCAGCCTTCTCAATCAATCCCTAATATAATCTTAACTCCGCACTCAGGCTTACGTTCATTCTTCACATTTGTCACTATCGCAAAATACAATAGAGGAAAATTGTACTCGTATTCAATTCCTAATATGACTCGACGTGTCCTTGCGTTGTTATTAAAACTTATCAATAAGGTTGCTGCGTGAGACGAGGCGTCGACCGATAATTATCTTAAGGTCATAGCATTAACTGTGTGACGTAGGCATCGCGCTATATGCATTGCGATAACGCACCACTACATAGTAGCAGGTGCAATGTCATAAATATTTCAAATATTAAGATTATCGAAAACATTTCTTTTACCCACAACACATGGCTGTTTTAACACACAGAAAAAAAACAGGAATATGCTCGTCAAATTAATAAGGGGTGTTATGGTTATGTTTATTAAACAGTTAGGTAATTATTCGTCTCTTTGTTAGCAAAAATATTTAATCGGTTAGCTAAAAAAACTAATTCGGTAGCAACTATTTCTAAATCCGTCTGCAATTTTCTATATCATTCATGAACAACATTTTTTATTACAGCCAAATATATATAAATGCTGAGTAACCTATATTTAATCAAATTTCGGTAAGCACAAAATTTAATTTTGGGCCGCTAATATAAGTTAAGGAAAAACATTAATATTGCACAAAATGGTTGCATGGAAGATTATTTATTTATTTTCTCTCTTATTGGGTACATTTAGTAATATTGGGATAATGTGATATAATAATAAAAAATATGTTTAATGCTACATTTTAATTTTTTATTTTTATAAATTTGCTTTATTTTAAACAGTCTTTAAAAATGACGTTCTAAGTTTGACCTGTATTTGTGTATATTTATGATTAATAAAGAGATCAAAACTTAAATAATCGCCTGTTTTTATTGCTTACTAAAATTTCAAAATGGCCTACCTAATTAGTAATTACTTCTCATAAAGAAGGAACACACATACACTTCGAAATACTGAGATATCAATTAAGAAGTTCAAATGAAGTTCATTATTACTACTTATAGAAAAAAAAACATGAATACCAAAGAATTGAATGGCCGTGCTGACAGTCATTACGATTACCGAGTACTGTTAGTTCGAGACTTGCACGTCTGACGTATCATTTTCCATGTCCTTGACACTGATGAGTGCCACTGAGGTCGCTGTCATGTTTCCCCTAGAGTCGACGCACCCTGTCACCCACGCCGCACTGAAATAGACGAGGTTATTACTCCCAGAGACGTACTACGACTATCAGGGAACAAAGAAACCTAGTCAAATTAGCAATGGTAATTTGGAGGCCCGCTTCCTTTAGTTTTATCGCAATCAAGGAAATTTTGCAAATTGAATTGTGGACTTCAGTGAGATTATCTAAATAAAGGCTACGTGAAATCCTAAGTTTATTATTGATTCAGTTTGCCTTCGAGTATTAAAAATCTTTTCTCTTAAATTGTTTATTCTAAAGAATAGTTAGGGGACATTGTTTATCGCATAAAAACATCCGCGTCAGCCGTGTTGATCATGCATAAAAAAGATAAGTGGTGTGTTATTAAATGCTACCAGTTAATTTGATTAAATGAGATAAGATTATAAAATATTTTTTAATAAACTAATAAATTGGCCTTTTAGTTATTTTTTGTTCGTCATATTTGTAGTCAATGTTTAGTGCAAAGGAAGTGACAGCAAAAATTTTAACCAAACGTAAATTGATATTTCTAACTAAGAGCTGTTGGCTGCCGGTATATCAATTAATTTAACTGCGTTTATTTTTCATTTCGTGTATCCATTACTATTTTAAATAAAATCTGTATATATCTCTATATTTTTATCCATGCATTGGCTTATCCCATCCGCTTATCGATATTTTTAAATACATAGATATGTGTACTTGCTAACTAAAATTCTTATTAATTTCTTATGACGACATATCGAAGTGAACTACTGACCATTCAAGACATTTATTGTTTGAATTTGTATTTTCAAGAATGCGTATGTACAAATATGAAGTAAATGACAAGTAGTAGAAATCAAAATATGAGGTTTGAAATATGAATTACTGGAATAACTACTAGTGGCCCGTCCTCGCTTCGTTTTGGTGTAGACTTTTTTTTTTAATAGAAGCCTTTGACAGTCAGAAATAACAAGAATTTCTTGGTATAAGAATTTTCAAAACAGTTTCAGTAGATCCAGAGTTACCCTCTACAACCACACAAAGTCATACATTTTTTTCTATAAATATAATATTAGTATAGATTTGAAAACTGTATACAATCCCTTTTTAATTGTTTTTGGTATTTTTTGTCTGCTACTACATACCTTTCCAAGGCTATTTAGAATGATGAAATACTATTGGAAGTTGCATACGAACTGTAACTAGTATCATTAGATTATTTTATGACATAGAGCCCAGCCATATAAACTTAATCCTGATCTGGTGTTTACATTTAACACATCTGAAGTTAACTCATTATTAGTAATACAGAATAATAAATGAATTATTATTTATTTAATAAAAAATTTAAATATCGATATAATTTATTTCTTACGCAACAGATTTCACTAACTGGTAATAAGGATTATTTTTGAAGATCTAGTTCTTTTAGAGTGCAATAAACTTTATTGAGCTTTTTAAAACACGAATTCTGAATTAAAAAGGTTATATTGTTTTTATTGCTCCATATCTTTTTTTCGTGTGTTTGAATGTCATAATTATACTAGGTGAGGCGATAGAGGAAAACTATTAGACTATTCAAAAGTTTCTTGAAATAAATTCTAGTAACTTCAATTAATGTAAAAGTATTGTATTAGACTGTAGCGATTAATCACACCATTTAAACAATTAACAGCAACTGAGACTCCTATCTCAAATTTTCTTAAATCACAGCCATGTGGAAATCACAGTGGTACATGAAGATTTATGGTATTATCATCCCTAGGAGCACAAAAAAATATATTGCGTGATAGCTTCACATAGGTTGAATCCTTACTTTAGTTAGGAACAGCATTAATGGCTTATGAAATGCGCTCGTTATTTAGTCTGTAAGTAATAACTGCTCATCATTGATCATATGTTTGGAACTTTTATATGTTTTTTTTTTATTTATTTTAAGAAACCAATAGCGTATTAATTACAAATTTACTACATGTTTAGTTATAAAGAAAGGCCAATTACAGGTCTCCTTTAAAAATTACGGTGAAACGGAGTTCACAAAATATGTACAGAATATTAGAGGAGCTCGATGGCGCAGGTGGTTTGCGCGTTCGGCTGCGATCATTGTAATTAAGCAACTTTCGCAGTGGTCG